CATTCAGATATAGAACGGAGTGACCCTTTTCACTGCCGAATTCCTAACTGTAAAACCCACTTCCAGACGGCTGGACGATAGACAGTCCACGCTGCAAAAACCCATTTTCCAGAGTGGGCAAGACTACTAGAGAGTCTACCTAGCAGTATAGAAGTTGCCTTTAGAAATCGCAGCGAGGCTCTCAACAAAAAGACTAGAGATATACAAGGAGAATTTGTAGATATCGAGAACGCATAGGAAATAGACAACAGCGTGAACCAGAGAGAGATACAGCTCAGCTGGTCAGAGAAATTAGGCAACAATCTTGCACGGGAGTCTTGAGAAAAACGAGAACACAGCAAACCTTGGCTTAAGTTCATGGTACATTTACACCCATCAGGGCGGCGTGTCGAGGGACATTAGGATATTAATGAAACAACAATCTTCTTCTCTTGCACTCTGTACATGGCGTAGCCCTTGCGACAAGTCTACTCTACACAGTAGAACAGAGCATTAGTGTAAAGCAAAGTGCTTATATGCTCAGAAATACAGAGCGATAAATAAAATCTTCTAGAACGTTCATATTCAGCGAATCAAAGACAAGCTCATCATCAACTAATGCATATCATAATACTTAATAACGTTATTAGAACAGAAGGACGCATGTCCCATCGTACCAAACAACCTCATCGACACTGCCATCAAACTCTCCTCCCCCTTTCGCCTAATGTGTTCATCTACGGAAAACAGCAAGATGCGCGAAGAGCATTGTGATCTATCAGCTTCCTTGCTTTCACTTGGTCACACCACACTGCTTTGTTCCTCCACACGCTCGAAGCCAATTAGAAATGTGGGGCGCATGTGTGCTGCATAACCTTCTCAAACCCTCTCCTCTTGGCAATTTATGTTACCCATATGTGATAAAGGAAAAAGCAGAAAGGACGCCGCATGACGCGGTGAGGGACAAATTGTGAGGGGATTGTTGGGTGCACACAGAGTAAGGACGTATAACTAAGATCGGTAGTCAAGGAAAAGGCTTGGAAAGCAGATGATATTGCGAATGTAACTTTCGTTTTATTGTTGTAACATCCTTGCCACTATGCATTAGTATCGTAGTTTGTCATGTAAGTATCACTATACGTATAAGCGCATACGTTCTGGATAAATCCTGCCGAAGCCATGTATTTTTTATTGTTTACTCAAATCTGCATCCTGTAATCCAGACCATATTTTGTTCTTCGTCAACGACAGTGTGATACTCGATACCGTTATGGTTACTGTGTCGCACTTCAGTGTGAAATTGTCAAGCGTTAAGGACAGGCGTCAGATCGAAGGCCGTCGTGGCGCGTAGTAAGAACTATTGTCGAGAGGATGGATTTCTGTACAAAATTTATTAGCAACGAAGTTCAATGTGAGATATGCGGTGGATGCGCCACGACGGGTCGTGTGAGATAAAGGCAAAGGAACATACAGTTGCAGTTGCAAGCTCCCGGTGCGCAGCCGCAGTCGGCGCAAGTGCATCCAGAGTTTCCGCAGCCGCCCTTCATTTTGATGTGTATTGGGAGAGGTTGAAAGTTTGGGTTGATAATTGAAAGAGTGGTGTCGTTCTGTTGCTTTGATCGTTTGCTGTAGAGAGAATCAGTCGGAGGGGTAGAAGCGGGGCAGGCCTTTTATATCTCAGGGCTCGGTGACATACCACTTCCGGAACTAAAGATGCGACACCGATAGCCGCACTTACCAATGGACCCTACGCTATGACACGGGCTCTTTTCCAAGTTTGCTATTAGGCGGGTCATCGGCGAATCATGGGTAGGAAGGTGATGTATGTAGTGGCTGTGGTGGCGAATCGAGCGGCTGGATGAGGTGTCGGCGCAAGCATGTAACCTGATTTGAGCAAGTTACGTGGGAGCTAGTGTGTAAGCTTGTCGGGTGGGGCGTAGACGGTGCATGTGCCACCGGGATGTAGACAACACTGTAGATACCCTGGAATATACGAATGCGACGTCATTTCGTTATCATGTCCTGTGTACTTTCTCTTGTTTGCCAGCGAAGTCGTCGAGTTGTGGCTTTACATGTGGCGACGATATGGCATGATGGAATAGCCGTATTCTGAGCATCCAATGTAAGTGGCCAGACATATTGAAATACCGAATCTGTTGCGCAGCCTTCAAGGCTGTTCATGCGCCTAGGGCACTCAGCTTCGATGCGTGGGATACGTTCAAATCACGCCTCTTTTCCCCATGTTGGCAAGATCGATCACCTCCTCTTCCACCTCATTCTCTACCGTGTGCTTCCCTTTCGCATTCTTGCCGCCCTTAACCCCACTTTTGTTATTCACATTCCCTCTCTTTCCATCCTTGATGCTACCCTCATCATCGTCATCGTCTCCAAACAGAAAGCCTTTGCCCTTCATACGTCTCTTCTCATCAGATGAGAAGGTTGAGTGCGCAGCACCGGAGGCGAAGTTTGAGGATGCCGAGTCTTCACCAAGCATCCAGGAAAAATTTGAGGATGTAAGATGCGGCCGTGACGGGGGAGAAAGAGTCGAAGCGAGCTTTGACGGGGGAGATAATGTGCGGGCCGGCGGTGATGTGGGGCGGGAGCTTAGCGGGGTAGGGTTCCTAGAGTTGGCTCTCAATGGAGTGGTCGACTGAGATGTCGTGCTCAAAGAGAGAGGTGGAACACTGGAGGCTTGCCCCGACGACATCGGAGATTGAGGAGTCGGAGAAGCCAAGCTGATTGCGGCTTGTGCAGTTGAAGCTTGTTCCGTTGCTTCATCGACAGGAAGTGGCAAGGAAGAGTCATCAAGATAGACTTGAACGAACTGCACTTTCGCGATCGCAAGGCTAAGGGCTTCCATTGCTTCTTTCCCCTTTTCATCATCTTCTTTTGCTTTTTGTGCCTCATCACGCTCCCTGTGATACTCCCACAAATCTCCGACGGCAACTTCTAACATCTTAGCTAGGCTCTTGTTCCTGCGATCCAGCTCTTCCATCTTCTTGAAAGTGTTGGCTGAATGTACCCTTTCAAGGGTTGGTCGCCCGCTGGCAGCGGCTGTACTCGGTTGACCGGGCTTTCGGAACTCTCTCCCTCCAGAGCGTGGTGTCGACTGGCCGGAGTTTGTCGCTGACTGGTAAGCTTCGACGTTCTTCCTCACTTCACCTACTGCATCCCGTAAGGCTTTCCCTACACCCCACTGCGAACCACGATCTAGCACATTTTTGGCAGCACCTTGTATCAAGGCCTCGAAACCAGCGCCCTGTTGGGTCACAAAACTCCTTGGTGACCCGATGCTTTGGCGCGTTCGATTGGAAATGAATGAAGGCGATGGCGACGGTTCGCGGGCGTTGAATTTTGGCTCGGGCTCAATGATAGGTGCTTGCTTGCCATATCGCGTGATGATTTCTGCGCCACCAGGTGGAGTAAGGTGATCGCGAAGGTACAACGCGTCCTTTATGAACGTATATGGGGGAGTAGCTGGTTCGGGATATCTCAGTAGAAGTGCAAATGCTTCATTTGTGTCAGCTGCCATCAGCTCCCATCGTATACGCAACAGCATAGCTATTGAAATCATGTCAACGAGCTCTAGCGTAGAGTCTATCGCAAAGAGTGCGTCCCACATGTCGAAGACAGCATCGAGTGAGAACTCTCGTCCGAACAGAAGGCGTATCCAGCGTCTATTTCATGTTAGACTAGTCAAGTACAGATGCATGTGGTAGCTTACAGAAGGAATATCTGAGGCACGATCTCCAGCTTTACGAGGTGGGTATGCAGTTCTGGGTCTACCTTTGGTAAGCTGCCTTCAAATATCCTAGAGCTTCGTGCAAGCATTGGTGTATCCTTGGTTGTAGATCCAGTTTCAGCCGGCGCGTAGAATGATTTTGCTGTTTGCATGATGATGGAGAAGAGCATGTGCGTATCATGCTCAATGTACTCCGAGTCCAACATCTCGGCGAGACTGTGATCCATTGCGGCAGTGTTCCCATCGGTCGCGTCTATCGCATCTCTTTCCACAACCCACAGCAAAGGCGCGAGTATCTCGTGCATGCCTTGGCGATATCCTATATCAGGATGCATTTTGCACCAAACAAACAGTATATCCAGCATCATGTTCTGAGTGGCAGGCTGGCGGAAATACACATTGTCCGGCATGCATCGCTCAATATCCTGGAATATCTCGGCACGGAGTTCTTCGTCGGCACGGAGGGCTACCCATGGTGACTTTTAACACTTAGTACTTGTCAATAAGCGATATGTCTGATGGCGGCGTCGGCCTGTCGCAGGTGTACACACCTCTGATAGTTCGCTCAATGGGTCGACCGAGGACTCGAATTCGTCTGGGTTTCGTATGGCACGGAGGTAGTGTGATCGCAGAGAGTTATACGTCTTGCGCGCATGGCTGAGGTGGGTAGGCCACGACGAGCGATCAAGCGTTTTGAAAACGAGGAAGATCTAATCTTGCCATGAGCGTTGAAGGGAGAGGAAAGGCGCAGTGAACGGTACCTTCCAACAAACGGACCGGAGTCCTGCGGTGATCTGGGGTTCTTTGTGCGCAGAGACGTGAATCTTGAGGTCGGTCAGGGAGTGGAAGTCGTCGAGCTGCCGCCAGTGCTTTCTGTGCAAAGTTAGAATTGGAATCACATAGACGTACAATGATAGCTCACTCAGCTTCGGATACGGAGCGCATAGTGGAATATTGCAGAGAGCAGTGTGAGTACTGTGTCGGCAACGTCCAAGCACCCTGTTGGTAGCTCTGCGCTGTGATGCAATAGCACGCTGCGGGGCAATTCGAGCCGACCGAGACGTCACGTGGTACATGGGACGCTCGAGCTCACCCTAGGTATCACGGAACGCTTGGAAGATACGCATGGTAGTGCATCCGACGTGTTTGCTAGGATGCCGCTTGTAAACGCGTTGTTGAGTCAGGGTCAGGGTCCGTTGTCTGTGTTGCATCTGGTTGCTAGAGGGAACGATAATAGATCACGACGTCACGTAACTGCATGACACGAATACGATCGAGGCACAGTACTGTGTAGCATCGGACGATGGTGTCTAGCATATCTGATAGACTAGTGCGTAGTGACTTTCTAATTCCATCTCCACACTACGCTCGCTAAGAACGGGAACAGAAGGATTAACTTCACGATGCAGAATCTTAGGCTGAATGCCAATGGCGACCCACGGAAAGTCGCATGCGCGTGCGGGTGCGAGTGCGAGTGATGGAACGAGCTCGAGTCTATTGAACCAAACTTGCCTCGTGCTTCTCAACTGCCCACTTGTCGGACTGAAGACGACAAAGTCGAGGGAGACGTTGCATAGTGACGAAGCTAACCCACAGTGATCGACGATGTCTCAACTTTACCAAGCCACGTGCGAGTAGACCTCGATGGTGTTGGGAATTAGTCTTTCTTCACTGGGACTGCGTTGCGCTGGCCCTCTATGACGAGCCTGTCCATGAGACCCGGGGCTAGAATGTCCTGCCGGAAACGCTCCTGCTGCAGCCATTCTAGCGCACGCAGCGTGGGGCCAGGGTGACTGAAGCGACGCGATCAGTAAGCAGGCGGTGAGATGGGCGGTGGACGTACTGGAGGAATCTGATGTACTTTGGGTCTTTGAAGTACTGCAGGTAGCCGAGGTAGGCGACGAATTCGGGCTTGTCGAGCGTCTTCTGCTGGGCCAGGTAGTTGAGATAGACGGGATTGGCAAGGCACTGGACAAACTAGGCGTGTGTTAATGAAGGTCAAACAGGGGCTAATGACGACGCAGTATAGGGGAATTGCGGACCTCGAGCTCGAGCTCAAAGCGCGAGTAGCCTCCCACGCCCGGGGCATCTTGGGTCGTCTCGTGAGCCATGGCTGGCGAGTTTGACAGCTGACGGTGGATAGTCGGTATGGGAGCGGCGCTTGCAGGTCACACTGAGGCTGAAGAAAAGCAGTTCAGGGTCTTCCCCGCAATTCCCAGGTTGCGCAGAGTCGGCAGCTAATCCAGTTGGGTATGTGAGGCGGGCTAAGGATCGCGCACTTGCACAAACGGGTGCAAGGACAGCAGGGTTGAGGAGCTTGTGTAGAGGAATCGAGTCAAGTCTGCGGTCGTGTCAAACGACAGGTTGTGTTTCGGGAGTGGTTGAGGGGGTTTCAATGGGCGCGCACCGTAGCTGGGCAGGCAGAGCAGCACTAGACGCGATCAAAAGCCATCGCAGAGGCTGCGATTCAGCCAAACAGCAAGTGCATATCCAGAGGTTTGTTGTCCCATGCGTTGCCATGCAGCAGTGCACTGAGTGCAGCTCGGGCCCCGACCCCACAGGCACAGCGGATTAGCACCCTGATTTACCGTCTAGACAGTCTTTTCCGGCCAAAGTGGCTGCGGTTTAGGAAGCTCGTGATCGGGCGCTCGAATCACAGCCGGACGGTGCCACGGAACCACGCACCCACGGTCGGTGTCTTGCGGTAAACACGAGGCCCAGCTAAGCTCTGCCTCTAATCCCGCCTCTAAAAGCCCCAACTAGGCCGCTCTTGCCCTCGACGGTCTATAGCTCAGGCACTCCTACTACCACCTCCTGCCTCCTCCTGACTCTGCCACTTGATCCTCTGCCATCTGCACCACCTGCTTTTTTGCTTTCCTTCTCCCTCACCACCTCGCCATCACCACCACCACCTTCACCACCACCACTACCCGCGCATTGCTGTCTTGTATTCACTAGGCGTTGCATAGACTACTAACGGGCCTCAAACACGAGCCATCAAACACGCGCCCCGCCCGCCTGTCGTCTGCCCGCCAACAGGGCCCGTCTATCCTCAGCACGAAACACAGCAGAGCATCGGTACCACCGCCAGTCTTGGGAAAATCTGCTGCCGCCCCTTTTGCTGCTTCTGCTCTACGCGAGGTGCGCCGGAACAGGATTGTCCCCAGTGCGTCACCAGCCAACAATTGCACAAAGCACGCCTGTCGTCTCCCGCGGCGCCAGTGTTTGATTGGGCCGCCCAGCAGGGTTGTGAGTAGCGGACGGCATCATGTTTGCAGAGCCGTCAATGCCAGGTAAGGCTCCTGAAATGGCCTGTTTCACCGAAACCGCTGCCTGTGACGAAATCGGACGCGCCGCTGATCATATTGCTTATCTACAGAGAGGCGACCCTCGCCAGGCCTGCAGCTCAACCTCTCCTCCAACAACCCCTTCCGCAGAGCTGCTTCACCCGCCTTCCCCTCGCCCGCCAGTGCCAACCGCTCGAGCTCGGGCAGCAGACCAATGTCGCGCAATCCCTTTATATCTACCTTCGAGGCCGAATTTAACAAGGAGGCATCCCGAGACCTCGTTGACATGTCTGCCACCATGAAGGAATCTCCCAAGAAATCAACCTTTGGCTTTGCCGCCGAAGAGCTCTTTGTATGTTCACCTCCCCTTGCACCCCAATTGCCTGTGACGCGACGGGTACCGACGTCGTCACGTCGTACAAGCCACATCATTCCTCCGCTGTATTAAATACGGTACAATCCCTAGCCGCCATTGAGCCACCAAACATGGACCGCTTCAGGCGCTTCGTGATGCAGTTTGCTGACTACCCTGCTCTTACTCAGGCCAACCTCACCATCGATGACAGCGACAAGAAGCGAGCTCCCCCACCACGCCCGGCTCCTGCCCGGAGCGGCACAGATCCCCGTGCAGGCCACCGCCCATCTCGCTCCGAAGAGGAGAGGCGCGCCGAGCGCATGCGTGAAGCTTCTCGTGGCGGCTCTCGACCACGCGGCCCTCCCAGTTCTTCGCGTCCTCCCCACCTGAGCAGTCCCGAACGTCGTGAGAACCGCCGTCCTCGACGCAACTCTGAATCCTCCATCATCGACCGAGGCTCGTTGGATCCGCGTGAGGAGCGCAGGCGCAGGGAGCGTCGCAAAGAGCGCGAAGAGCGTGCCAAAGATGGTAAAGATAAGAACGGAAAGCGTGTCCGCAGGCCACAAGGTCTTGATCTCATCGACAAACTCGATGTGACTGGCATCTACGGACCTAGCATGATCCACCACGATGGACCATACGATGCTGTGCAGCCCCACCGGAACCGTAAGAAGGACCAGCGCGCACCTATGCATGCCTTCCCTGTCGGTTCGGCCAACAATACTCTAGGTGGCTCCGGACCGCTTAACACCAAGATTGATCTAGACAGGATCCATGGAAGAGGTGCTGAGGGCTTCACCGACTTTGCCGGTGCCGAAACCGAGTGGAAGAAGCCTGCTCCAGTGGCTGCAGAGTTCAGTGCAAAGGGCCGAGAAGACATTGTGCACGGCGAGCAGACCCACGGTCTTGGAACATCCACTTTTCTCGAGGGTGCCCCGGCATCCCGTAAAGCGATCCAGGAGGAGTCTGACGCTCAGCGACAGAAGCAGCTGGCTGAAGGTGGTTTGGGCCGCAAGAAATCCATTGCCCAGCGATTCCGCGGCATCTCTCAGCCCCGACGTTATGGTGATGGTCCTCGCATCACCTCGCCCGAGGCACGTTACGGATCTGCCACCAGTCCAAGTGGTCCTTACAGCGCTGGAGCCATCTCGCAAACCAAAGCAACAGAGCAGAACCCATTCTTCAGCGACGACTACGACAAGGCCTATGATGCCAAGGGTGCAACTATCAAGACCAACGAGGGCGGACCTTCGCCACCTCGAGGCGCTGCGCTGCAACGATCCATTACCACAGATAGTGTAGGATCTCCCACTGGTGAGGGCAAGCCCAGTGGTGGATTCCTTAACCGGGTCAAGTCTCTGAAAGGTGGACGCCGACGCCCTGCTTGAGAATACATAGGCAGGGTTGGATCGACTTGACCACTTTCTCCATCATCTCAGAAATACCTCGAAACACAAAAAGACACGACGTGCATAGCGCCATAGCGATGACGGCTGACAGCGCCTATTTCTCCTATTGTCAAACACATCCTTTCGGGACATACACTTTCCTTTCGTCTGGCGCTGGGGCAGTTTGGACTTGAAAGCACGAGGTCTGGATACCACTCATGTGTAACAGAAATCATGGCGCTCCAAAATGCTTGACAAAGGGCTTTTTCTTCAATCACTGATCTCCAACTCTTCAGTCGAATCACTTTTCTTTTAATGCGAAGAAATTGGGCTACTTTGTGTAGCTTCTACAAACAAGTTTGCGACACTTTTGGGGGATGCAAGGCGTGAAAAATCCGTAGCTTGAATCGAAATTTACAAAGACCAAACCGTTGCGCCCTACCGTATCTGCTATCTTAGTAGACGTTGCTTCAGAAGCAAATCAGACATGCACGTGTGAGGCCGTTGATTTGCCCCCTTGATCGCCATCTAGACCTGCTCGATGTTCAGGGGCAGGAGATGTCCCACCAGGATCGACCTTGACGCGTTTCTGTCGCCCAAACCCCCCACTCAACCCACTGCCCAATCTTCGATGCGCGGACCTGGATGCCGCTGCTGCCCCTGGCACATGACTTACATCGCCGACATGTTTCTCAGCCGCACCCGACTAGCACTAAGATCGACAGCGGACTTTTGGGATCGCAAGCCACCATCGTATCCCCCCAGCATGATCTTCGGTGCCACGACTCTGAGGGATGTGTATGGTCTTGGCTAGGGCGTCAGTTGCTCGTCAGGATTGATTGGAAGCTAGTGGATGCCTTGATGTTGGGTTGAGCAGATGATGGATATGGTGTGGGCTCGGTAATTTGTACTATGAAGATTTGAGCGAGCGAAATTGCGGAGTTTACATAGGAATATAGACACGTCCCTACTTTGCTAACTGTTAAATTCAATGTACGCGGTGCGTATATGTCGGTGACCCTGGGATGGAAGCGAGACAAAATCCCGAGTATAGGAGAATGTCTCCGAATCTCAACACGTAAGACTTGTCGTCACGTAACGTCTCTCATAGATCGTGCGCTTGTTGAATTTAGTCATACCGTACGAAGTTCGAGTGTAACTTACATGAGTTGCCTAGATGGCGCGCGCCTTCTCCTTCCATCTTGCGCTAGCACTTTCCTTTCCGAACTCGGTTCCGATTGGCCTCAGAGTCAACTCACAACCATGCGGCTAGCAGCAGCAACATGGCCGCCGTTGATATCACCTCAAATGGGTTGAGTGAAAGCGTAAGACCTGCAGAGCCGCTACTCGCATCCCACTCGATCGACGACAAAGACCTCAGTGAGCTGCTAGAGAGCTTGTGCAGCGTCAGTATCGAGAAGAAAGAAAAGGACGAGAAGAAACGACTGCGGAGTGGAGTCAAGAGTTTGGATGATGCACTGAGTGGCGGACTACATAGTGGGCGGATTGTACGAATCAGCGGAGAAGCTGGAGCGGGTGCGAGCCAGGTGAGTAATATGAATATTACTGTCATCGAAAATCACTTTCCAGAGAGACCGTGAGAATGGAATGTTCGTATTCTAATATTTTTAGATCTGCTGTACCCTACTCATAGACTCTCTTCTTCAATATGAGAACTCGGCGGCTGCTGTTATTGATACAACAGGCAATTTCGATGTGGTCCGATTGTACGCAATGATTGTTGCACGACTGTCTCAACGACCAAGGCTCACGGCTTCACTGCACTCTGCAATCAACCCAGAACCTGGAGCTTCGATCGAGGATCTGTCAGCAAGGATTTTGGACCGCGTTAAGATCATGCGGGTTTTTGATTTTGTTGGTGTGAGAGAGGCTATCGAGGAGCTCAAGGATGATATTGCAGGGCAGAATGTTGCGGAACCCACCCTGGCAAATGAGAAGATGAAAGAAGCGCTACCAGTCGAAAAGGTGAAGATGAAGCGGACATATGTCGCGGACTCCGAGGACGAGGAAGACGACGAGGAGATGTTGTTCGATTCAGAATCTATCGTTACCGCAGCAGCACAACCAGCAAAAGACCAAGAAGGAGCGGAGGCACGACTACTCGAGCCAGTGGGAACGCTAGGAATCACGCACGCGGAAGCAAAGCGAGGCTACATCAAATTCATGCTAGTCGACAGTTTTGCCCATGTCTTCAACCCATTGTTGAAAACCGATTACATCCGAGGTATTTGGTCACAATCACATTTTCATTAAGAACAGGAACGCTGACTAGCTCCCAGCGAATAACATGGCAGCCTCTTTATTCACCACTCTCACAGACTTAACAAGGTCTCATTCACTCCATACCCTCCTCATAAACCCGGCTCATCCTCCCCGCGCTTCCTCACCGAAACGCTTTGCACCACAGAATCAACTAGGTCCTCTGCCCCAGCAACAACGTTGGAACCCGCCTCTCCCGCCTTCCATCTTCGCGAGCAATGACGCTGTACCTGGTTTGATGGATCTCCTAGGAAGGTATACAGACATGGAGATATTAGTGAGTCGGATACCAAGACGGTCACTGGATGCGAGAGTTCACTACAGTGATACCGAGAGATCAGGACAGAAGAGAGGCGTTGAGATGGTGGGTGTGTTGGAGATAGTGAGCGATCGGTGGGAAGGGAGGAGTGGAGCGTGGGGTACGTTTCGCGAAGGAAAAGATGGAATCCGAGATGTTTGAGATGGATTCAATACACAAGAACACAAGTCTAGGGTGTTGATAGTGAGGGTTCGATGGAGAAGTCGTCGTCACCAGTGTTTCTTACCCATCCCTTCAAGGCTTTGCGTATGTCTTCTTTAGCCCTGGTCCTCTCGATGAGCTCTTCAGATCCTTTCATCTCCGCATACTTCCTCTTGCGTAGTGCCCCACTCGTCACCACTGTTCCACCTAGTACTCCCGCCAAGCGCAGGCCTTCTAGCCACAATCCCCTTCGGCATATCTTACTTGCTCCTCGAGGGTCTAATTGCTTCCGGCCCTGCATTACGCCGCCAATCAGAGTCTCCTGCCAAGTCGGTGTCCACACCGCAGATATGTTACTAGGCACCGCTTTTTCGGTAGCGGATAGTGCGCGGCGTGACCAAGTAAACTCTCGATCTGTGGGAAGGATGGTGAAGGGCTGGAAGCGGTAGCCGCCTTTCCACTCATTCGAGTCAAGACACCTGAGGCGACCGGACGAAGAGAAGGCGCGTTCACATGCTTGTGGTATGTACTGGGAGTCTGGCAGCACCAAGGTTTCCAGGTAAGCGTTCTGGGGACTAACGAATAGAGATGATGTTGATGAGAGCAAGGAGGTGGCTTGTTTCACTGCAAGCTTGTCTGTGCAGGATTTGCTCAGCGTAGGCGGCGCATCTGGTCGCGAAGGCTTCGCGCGAACGACGCCCAAAAGAGAGAAGTTGGATCGCCCTCGGAGTGCTAAAGCCTCTCCTTCATCACCGGAATGTGGTGTGGAGGAAAGAGTTGGCGGCGTACTGGTCCACGGCGTTGCATCTTCTTGCGCAGCCATAGTGAGCTCCATGCTTGCGTCTCCACAGGGTGCTTCAGAGCAGTACATGTGAAAGGATACATCCTCTCGGATTGTGAAAGGCTGCTGTAGGTCTCTGGTTTGTTCGTCAGGTGATACTTTTCGAAGAAGGCCGGACGTTGGATAAGGTGGCGTTGATATGAGAGTGCATTCGTCCAAGAGGTGACGGTTGAAGGCTCGAATGGCGATGACTTCGGCGTGCCAGTCGTGGAGGATGTTACCGTGTGCGACGGGTAGTTTGTTGGCAGGGAGACATTTCATGCCAGTGCTGGAAAAGGTTCAGTGCATGTCCATAGTCGCTAATCTCGTCTACGAGCAGATTCTATGCAATAGCTAGCTTGCTCAGGGTCAATTGGATCAATCTCATGCGCCCTGTCTGACCTGTATGGCTAATACCTCACCCGGCGAGCTATTGGACTACACGATGCCCGTTTTTGAGAAAGCACCCTTGGAGGTCGGGTGATGGAAATGGCTCACCCTAAAGATACACATGACAGGCTTTGGCCTTCACTAAGTCATGAGCATAAGCAAGTAAAGCTCCTTCCGGATGCAAGTGAGCGATTACCTTTAGATAAGACGATTCCGGCGAGGGGCACCCATTCCCTCGCGCCATCGTGGCGGGGTCTCGGCTTCCTCTTTTCAGGTAGCTGAGCAAAGGCCCGTAACACGCAGTCTGCGATGGCATTTGCATCTGGGGGCATGGCAGCGAGTGCAAGTTGTGGGTGGAAAGAGTGAGGGCGGAGTTAGGGCTCGGATGATCCGGGGAGCCAGGCAGAGCCAGGGTCCATTGTTACCTTCGCGGTCGCAAAGCATCGCTCCTGCTACTCAATCACAAAGAACCCTGTCACACGCTCAGTACGAGTAAGACCCGGGCTGCCTTCACCTCCACGTACCGCCTTGGTTTTAGTCCTCTCTCCTCAACATGCAAGCGTTTGGTGAGCAATGGCCATGCGCCGCACCGTCGCATTTGCGACTCAAACACTCACGATTGCAGTACCCAAGAACCGACGAGTAAGACAGAGCTAGTACACGGAAGCTGCATGGGCTGACATCTGCGCAGCCAAAGTTTGACCTACACCTAAGAGTGAGCTGCCCGTACCAAGGCGTAGGATGCTATGTTGACGACGCCAGATAATCGACCTGAACAACGTACCACTCGTATCTGGCACATCGTTTATAAAATGGCACCTCTCGCATTCGACAGCCGCCGAGCATCGCGGCCGCACAGCCAACTGCCAGGTCAAGGACCACAAAGTCGCTTACAACTACGACATCACCCTCCCTGTCCGCCTTACTGTTGACAAGAATGGCATGCTACAGGAGTGTTGCATCGAGTTCGAGGTCGTGCAAGAATACGGCAGAGGCTCGGGAAGAGGCGAACGCATCACACTGGGAACCATTAAGCTCAATCTCGCCGAGTACGTTGAGCAGAGCGAGATGGCGGCCATGGCGGGTGAGGAGCCAGGCGTCACACGGAGATACCTTATGCAAGACAGCAAGATCAACAGCACGCTCAAGCTCGGGATATACATGAAGCAGACGGAAGGCGACAAGAACTTCATTGCGCCTGCCCTAAAGACGGCGCAAGTTTTTAGTGGTATCGCTGGTATCATGGCAGGAGAGCAGGCCGAGCTTGAGGATCACGGAGGTAAGGCGCACCCGACTCAACCACGAGCTTGTACTCATATCCACAGTTGCGCCCTCATTGACGAGTAAGTCACGCGAAGCCGGCGAACTCCAAGACATGTATCGACGTACGCTCGCCGCATATTGGTCCGCACAACCCGGTGAGCTCAAGGCAGACGAATGCATCGAGGACATTTTTGCAGGAGGAGATGGATGGGGCGATCGCGAGAAACCATACTCTCAGCAGCCGCGAGCCCAGCCCTTACGGTTCGCAGCGGGTGATAGCAGCAGCTCTGTGAGCGAGAGCGAGCCCAGACACATGCGCGGCAGCAGCAGCTCTCATCGCAAGTCGCATGAGACACTGCGCCCTGGAGACACAAACTCAAGTCACTCACCCAACGTGCGGGGCAGAGGAAGTCTGGAGCAGCAGGCATCGCAGATGAAGGCGGAGGCTGCGCGAAAACGACATCGTCCACACCACGAGGTGGATGAATTTGATTTGCGAGAAGACCTAGTCAGCTGGCATCGTCCAGCCTAAGAAGTCCCAATGTAGCACTGTAGACACAAATCCCAGCACCTAATATCTAACTTTGAGGTGACGCAACGTATTATGACGCGCCTCGCACGTGAAAGCGCGATGGCAGAATTGGGCGGTCACGAAAGTTGATGCACGCATTGCACTTTCCAAACCCGTTACAACCATCACTATTGCACGTCTTCACCACGCCGAACTCCTTCATGCTTGCGCCCCGTACCCCTAGTGCATTTGTATGCCTCCGATGTGAAGCGCAAATTACCCGGCGGCGACTTCCTGCCTTTGCTCGTCCACGATCCCACGCCAAGTTTTCCGCATCTACTCGCCGCCACGATGATGCCGAAGAGCTGGCGGTGCCGTCGCAGGCGCAACAACCAAAGCTGAAGATCACAAGAGAAGTGACGCCCTTGAACCGACTAAGGAGAAAGAAGGGGGGTAGAGTCATACGAGAGACAGCAAATTTGGGCGTGAAGCGATTGGGCGACGATGCCGATATTTTGGTTCTGAGGGAAATCGCAGAACTGACACCAGAGAAAGCCGCCGAAAACCCTGAAGAGCCTGAAAAGACCGTATCCTCCGAAGCTCCTGAAATCCCAGACATAGTCGCCTCGCTGCAGGAGGAAGGGAAGGCCGTCACGCCGGAAGAGATATACGAGCAGATCGAAACCTTGCGGCCGAAAAATGATAGCGGCCTCGATGAGCCGCATTATGTCAAGCAAACGACCTTTGTCAAGCTTAGGAAAACACTCATGAATGGTTTCACACATCAGCAGTTAATAGCATTCTATTCGGTCGCTAAGAACATACGGAAAGAGAAAGTGAAACAGGGTGTCATAAACAGCATCAAACAGAAGCCAGGATCAGGAGACCAGGATCGGTCTGTAGAGCGCTCTGAGTGGCAGCCTGGTACCACGGATATCACCCAGCGCTTGCCTGGCGTCGATCGTCATGTCAAAATCAAACGTTACCGTAAAAATGTCAGCAAACAGCTGCTCGTTGATCGCATACTGAGGGACGTCTGGAATCTCATGCTCTTGGAAGAGATAGAGTCGCCTGGAGAGCTTGAGCTTTCCCTGCAATCATGGCAGTTGGCGCTCCTGAAGGCTGGCGGTACGTACATTAGCACATGTCATCATGAAATTCGCTGACATGGCTGCAGAAAAGGAAACACTGTTGGACAAGATTCGACGGACCCGGCGAGCAAGACTCGATGTATACAAACAGCACGGCATCCTTCGCATCACAGCAGATAAGACCACAGCCGAGTACGCTGCCGACGATATCGAAGAAGCTCTTCAACGCACGGAGATGAAGGGGATGAACTTGAGCAGCTATCTGCATCAGAGTGCCAACATCGATGTTACATCGAACCCCAAACCAAATTTGGTTTCGTTGTTCTATACACAGAAAGACTTCGATATTGTCTCGATGCTGACTCGTACGAGTATCGAAGCTGTCGGCAAGACCATGGTATGCCCGGGCTTTGTAGAACGTTCTGAACGTAGCTGATTCCTGCAGTTAACGATCAGAGGCTTCGACAAGAACTCTATAGACGAAGCGAAACGAACACTGATCCGCTTCCTGCCTTTCGAAGAGCCAGTTACACGTACTTTTGATACGCAGCAATTGGGAAATGACGATAGCGCAGCATTCTTATTGCCAGTGTTCCCAGCAGACAGTTCTGTAGAGTACAAGTACCGCAGAGGAGATTTAGGACGTCTATCGATACCTATCGTACGCCTCACGGAACCTGAATATGTTGATTCTGAGGCCGAGAAACTTGCGAAAGCCCCGAAGACAGCATTGCACGCTCTAGTGAATCGCACTACGGCGACCGTACTACGATCTGCCTCTGATGTGTCACTGCCTACACATGAGCTTAACCATTGGATCCCGGAACCGACATATAAGCTCTCTGCTGAATTTGGTCAGGTATTGTTTCCCCTGAAAGATGCAGACTCCAAACGAGTAGTAGAAGCAGCGCTCGCCCAACCATCTCAGTCGCCTTTTCTGCCGACAATCCCTGGCTTAAATAACCTCCTTGCCTCACCCAATCTGACAGCTACTGCGCGCTTGCAAACGCCATCTTTACACTACCAATTCAGACCTGATCTCTCGAACGCGTCTGGCCAATTGTTCCCCAGTCTCAACGTACAGATGCGTACCGGCCGGAGTGGCGCCAGAGCAACTCTTCACAAAATGACACTCAGCTTCCAGCAACACGTCCACGATGTTCTGCTCCCTGATAGAGCATCAGATGTACGATTCTATCGCCGTGGAAGTCTGCACTTCAGCGTCAAGGACCACAACGACGAGGACGTACAGGCATGGGTCTATGCTGTGGTAGAGAACATTGAGAGTGGCGGCCGCCTCACCGCTCCACCCCTTCGCATCGAAATTCCCGAGTGGACTATACCAGGAGTTTCGAGTGAGGAAAAGGGGACACGCAATGTCACATACCACTTCTCTGGTGTCCAATTTCGGCAATCTGTCACCGGAAACTTGTTCGGTGAAGATATCTCATATAGCACAGTGCAGTCTGGCAAATTTGGCGCAAAGGGCGGTGTACTCACGGCACATTACAACGGCCATGGCGATAGAGAATTGCGCAATGAAGTCACCGTCAAAGCTTTTGTGGAAAACTGTTTGGATATGGTAGACCTGATTACCGATGCCAGCATGCAGACACTGCCTGTGTCTAGACAGCTTCGCCCACGGTATGGGAATAGTGAACGCAAGGCGAAGCGGAGCGAGATGTCGGCTAGTGAATCTCAAGCTGCCCACGAAAACGTTGAACTGGCAAATGGTGTTCTTGAGCCTTTTGGGCAGCATCCTCACCATAAGGACGATATTAAGGTTGAAGAGGATATGGAGGCTGATGCAAAGGTGGTAGAGGGTCAGCCTGCAGATGTGAAACAGGAGTCACGATCTGACGACCCACGTGCGGAAAGACAAAACGATACTACCCGCACTTTGTAATGAAATCAAACTCACCTCCTCAAATCAACTTTCTATGACGCTCCTGGTCGTGACTTGATTGACCGACATCTGTCGTACACGGGCTCACAATCAGTATTGCTAGCACGGAAAACAAGATGGTAATTGGATAAACCAAGATTTCGCAAGGAGAGGATACGTTGTAGTCTGGCAATTTCAATCGTTGCTAATACAACAACGGGAGCGAATATGCGTTGTTGATTGTACTTGAGATATCTACCGCGAGTCTTGCATAAGCTGTAGCAGGCCTTCCGCCGCATCACCCTTTACACCGCCGACACTGCGAGCCAAGCTATACTGTTGTTGCTTGAGTCTTTGGAGTCTATAATGCGGGTCTTCTTCCCGCAGGTTGATGCGATCCGCGTCGTGTTCACCTATTCGTATCCTGGACTCAGATGGCGGCTCGTAGTAACTCCTGGCTCGGATGGGTGAGGAGAGCTGATCAGGAGCTACAGAATGGGGCAGCTGAGGCCCGGGTGGTGAGGAGGAAAGGACGTATCCGGGTATCATACGTGATGATGCTGGCATATTGCCTTGTGGGATTGCGAACTGAACTGGTGCAGGACCAAGTTTACTTATAGGATGGAAGGGATCCAGATTTGCTTGCACAAAAACAGGTCCTTGATCGCGTCGCGGGGATGATACAGTAATGTTCGGTACGCGGTAAGCGCCCAAAGACTCGCCGGAAGACGTCATGGCTGTTGATCTCGACGCGTTGAGCGCGTCTGACGAGTAAGAGGCACGGGCTTCGTAAGGCCCGATGATATCCGCGTCGCGCTTAGTGACCTGGTTCGTCTTGATCTTGTACAGGCCAAACTTGAGGCGCGTTCGCAATTGTTCGGCACGCGACCTCCTCTTTCCTTCTGCGACTGCCGGCGCGGGGGCAGCGGCCGGCATCGCTACACGTTCTCCGTGTTCACTCTTTTGGCTGGCGCACAAATCATAGTTGAGAAGGTCAGAAAATGACTGGTTGCTCTTCTGAGAAGCTTGCATTGGCTCTGGTTCGGGCGATGGTGTTGGTGTGGCGCGTTCGGTGGGTGATCCTGGGTCCGCGAGGCCGATGGGATTGTTCTCCTTGCAGTTGTTAGTGGCGCGAGAAGGTGCAGGGCACGATGTATCATCTACCGTATGTTTCTGGACAGCGTCGGTGGTTAGGCGCGTGCCGGTGCTGGAAAGACTCTCGTCGCAGGCACGAGCGAGCATCTTTACGCTCTCGATAGATTCAACACCTTCAACTTCTTCTATGCCCCTCTTCTTGCTATTTGAATTCGTCTGGGGAGTCATGAGATTTTCCTTGCCGGTAGGGTTCGTTGGAGTGTGCGTCGTGACTTGCTTTAGTGGGCTTTGGGCGCGAGCGACTTCAGCTGGATCGTAGGCCTTTGGGGTAGAGGGTGTATTGATGGCTTTGGAGGTGAGATCGCCAAGCACGCGTCGCGAGGGCGTCTTGGAGGGAGTATGTTGAGAAGCCATATTTGGTCTCTGTGGTGTTGTGGCGCTCATGTTGTCTCTGCGGCTTGTCGGCTGTTGCGACGCGTTGAGATGGGGACGAACGACGCGCAGGGGTGCACTGTTGATTTACGGACAGAAGACTAGTAACAGAATGGCAGTGAGTCTTTTCAGCTCCTTTAAAACTTCAAGAGAAAGATATGAAAACAGAATTGGAGTTGTGGAAGATGCGTGAGAGCAGTCGCGTCGTGGTTGGGGAAGTCGCATTACAGGCGCCAGCCGACGCGATTGGGTGGCATGTCAGGGTCCAGCTTGGCGAAATGGCGGGATGGCGCCTCGACTAGTAGAGCGAAAAGTCAGGACAGTCCGCAGGTACTTCAACTCTACTCCGCGTCTAGTTGTGTACATTGTCCTCTACCCTCATCGTGCTCTGAATCGGCAGTAAACACGGTGAGCCTTCCGAGAGACACACTGCGGCTGTTTGCTATTGCACCTTGCACAGTTGCCGTTGCCGCAAGCTGTGACGCCCCAGTATGAAGGCCGCTATCAATACATCCAACTAGTGCACAGGTTAGGCATTTACGCGTCAATTGACCAACTCTCTCTCTCTCTCTCTCTCTCTCTCTCAACTCATGGCGACCGATATACGATGATCGTAGCAGACGCGTCCTGAGCGCGAGCACGCTCGAATTAGCCCAGGTACCGAGGCAAGCTGGGTAATTGGCCCACAGATAAGATAGCACGATAAGATGCAGCCACAATTCGTGCACGCACCTGCATGCATGCCGGACGCACTTGCCTACCTACCGGATCTCCAGTTCCTTGCTTTACGTCATCACAAAGATGTAAATGCGTGGTTACGCGGCTCCACCGCGGCTCCACCACGGCTGAGGCACACCTACTAAACTGCACCCAACATTCGGCTCACAACCATCACGACAAAGGATACGCTCAGACCTGAGACCCAAGACATCACTCGAGTTCTGCTACATGAGTCATTCTCTTCAACATCAGTTGGTATGTTCTTTGGTCAATGCATACCCTCACCAGCACACTAAATGAGATCAGCGCATTCACGATGAAGGGATTCCTTCAAAAAGCCAAGGCGGAGCTCAAAGGCTTCTCTCAACGTGACGAGTCTGGTAACTCCCATTTTGGTGGAAACCAACAAGCACAACATCAACAGCACTTTTCCCCAGCTCATCAGCAAGGTGGCTTCGGTCACGACCATGGCCATGATCAACACCATGGTATCAGCGACCCGACAACGCTGGATGTTCTTCGCTATCGCTATCACCATGGAACCAATCTTGGATCTGTTTACGTTATTGAACGATGGCTTCAGGGTTCTCGATTTCCTGATGGTGCTGAGGGATCAAGCGAGCTTGCAGCAGTGCAAGCCTGGGTGGACAGGGTTGGTGTCGCTGAGACGAAGCAAAAGTTCGAGGAGCACTGGGCCAATATTATACACGATAACGCCATTGGATGGCTTGCTAATGTGGCCAAATGTACAACTGTCCGCCTGCCCATCGGCTACTACGACCTCCCAGGCGCCGTCTTCACCCAGGGAACACCTTTCGAGCCCTATGCTGAAATCTACACAGGAGCATGGGACAGTATTCGTACCCTAATCCAACGTCTGCGCGCACGTTCAATCGGCGTTCTGGTTGATCTGCATGCACTACCAGGGGGCGGAAACGCGCAGGAACACTCAGGCACTAACAGTGGGCGTGCCGAGCTATGGACCAATCCCAGTAACCGTGCGTTAGGTGTTCGCTGCTGCCAGTTCATTGCAGAAGATACCAAAGCGGGAGCTGAGATTGCTGGTCTCCAACTCGTCAACGAGGCTGAATGGGAATCAGAGCGCATGTACGAGTGGTATGACGAGTGTATAGCCGCCGTGTCCGCCATAGACCCCGGAATTCCTATCATAATATCTGATGGCTGGAACCTAGGCAAAGCGGTAGATTGGTCTTTGCAGAAGAACTCCATATACTCGCATCCGCAATGCCCAGTGGTGGTTGACACGCACTATTATTGGGCTTTTACAGACCAAGACAAAGCGAAGACACCACAGCAGATCATCGGGGAAGCCGGCACCAAGCTAGAACAGTTGGATGGTAAAGAAGGCTCTGTGCATGATCGTGGTGCAGTACAGGTTATTGTTGGCGAATACTCCTGCGTTATGACTGAAGACTCTTGGGCCAAGGGCGGCGGAGTCCCCAAGGAGGAGCTCGTACGACAATTTGGTCAAGCGCAGAGCAGAAGGTACCAAGAGAAAGCTGGCGGCAGTTTCTTTTGGACCTGGAAAATGGATTGGATGCCTGGCGGCGAGTGGGGGTTTAAAGCTAAAACAGAAGATGGGAGTATTGTGCCACCCCAGTACACAAAAACGACCGCTGATGACAGACTCCGGATGACCGAAAAAGCTAGACACGAGAAGGACGGGCGTATGCATGAGGCGATTCAACAGCACGTGTCCTATTGGCGCGGCGTGGATCCCAATGGTCATTATGAGCACGAAAAGTACGAATACGGCTGGCAGGTTGGTTATCAAGACGCTCTCGGCTTCTTTGAGGGCAGAGGAACACAAGGCGACAAAATTGGCATGTTCGAGATATGGATCCTTAAGCGGATTAGAGAAAGTGGGTATAGAGGAGGCTTCACTTGGCTATTTGAGCAAGGTCTGAGAAAAGGTGCACAAGACTGCTACTCTGCAGTGGGCGTTTAGGGTCTGTGCACGGACTATGTGACCCTCCTCCACTGCCGTTTCTTGTATTGCCTCGATCACAAGGTGCGTGCTTGGTGCGATGACGTTATAGCCAACAGTAAGAATATTGACCTTTTGTGGAAACCTTTTGTGGAACACCTAAAGGGACGATGCGCTCCAGTAACAAACAGTGTACAGTCGACTTTAAGTGTACTGTATCACTCCTTCTCGATGCCCTACTATTGATACCTCCTTCACCCTCGAAACTGACCTTGCGCAAACCTTCGACATCTGGGGACCGCCGGAATCACTGACAACTGTCATCTCATGCTCTCTGATATTCCTGAAAATGCGCCTAGCGAGACGTTATTCTCGTTCTACGATACACCCTTTAGGCGGCCCTATCAGGCCTACTGCGTAACGGAAGCTTCTTCACGCCCTCCAAGTCCGGACCCTCTTGTTCAGGAACCCTTTTGCGCATCCGCGCCACCCTTGTGGCCGGCCGCTGACAGGGCATACTTTACGGACACTGAAAGATTCGAGCAAAACAACTCTCGCATTCAAGCTGCGGCAAGCAGTCCTGAGCAATATGTCGAATCTGTAACATTAAGCAAGGTGGAACAGTATAGCAAAAGACAAACATCTCCGCCCAACGGAAAACTATTGTGTGAGCGTACAGGATCGGGAAAGGATCCAAATCACATTACACGAGCTGTCAGTCCACGCGGCAGCCACTCGTTAGCTTCATCCGAAGTGGTCGCGTACGACCAGCCACCATCACATGCACAGCTGCGACAATTGGAACCTTCCACCAGAACAGACACTAGGTCCGTTTCACGCAGACCAATGGAGCATGGGAATCGTATGGGAACACATCAGCGCCCGTTGCCACCGCTCCCACTAGAAACGGGCTCGTTGAGATCCGTACCTAATCAACAAGATGACACGTGGAACAAGGAGGCATACAAAGAAGTGTATGAACAGTTTCATACGCAAAAAAATCATACCTTTCTCGAAGCTCAGCAGCTCCAACACCGAAACTTTGCCACGATGGAAGTCAGCTGAGTATCTTATACCACGTCGATCACTGCCGGACCCACCTGTACCATGCCTATGGAGTCGAGGCACTGCACCAGAGGGAAAGATCACACCTCTGAGCTCGACTGGACATCCGTATGTCGCCACCGTGTGCGAGTCGAGTCGAAATTTGTGGGAACGCAGTATTTCCAGCGATTACGCCCAAAATCGTCCCAGCGCCAAGCAGCATGTATCTCGTGGCCACTGGGAAGATATAGATAATGATGTGAGAGCACTGCAACAAACCCAAGACGAACACGCAAGCCAGGGATACAAATCCGGACGGCTGCCTTCCCACAAATTGGCCCTGCCGTCTCTGATCTCCCAGCAGCGAGATAGCTCCCTCCAACCAGTACATTCCCTCGCAAATCCTGCGCCATCGTTTCACTCGTCAAGCGACATTCAGAATGGTCCTAGACCGCCGCCTTGGGGCTCCTACGAAGATCTCGAGATCCAACGTCGACAACGCGGGGACGCAAGAGAGCGCACCAACGTTCAATTGAATCGTTTGACAGCGGACAGCGCATCGATGTATCAGAAGTCAATATCTTCTGACAGCGTTGGCAAGGTTCCTTCAAGGGAGGTAGAACAGTACAGAGAACAGATACTTGGCGTGTATCCCGACATGGAATTCAACAGAGACGATGGATTAGGTGATCCGAGGTGGTGTTGCTGTGTTATGATGTGATCGGTATCAGATCCATGAGAAAGCTTCATGGCTATCGATGAGATTTGTAGATATGGTTCTACACCTCAGGACTCTGTGATCTACACATTGGAAGTCAGGGAGTTCATACGATCGGATGTCACAGCCTGGGAAGTTCAATAGCATCACCAATCAGTGCTACAAACACAGCGCACGTCTATCTAATACGGCCTCATATAAAGTCAGCGGTGTCGCCACCTCATAAATGCTATTGAGTCCAGCTGTCTTAACCACTACCACGATACCTCATCAACCGCGCCTGGTGCTTGTAGAACAAGCCTTGTTAGATCTATCGAAAGTCTGTTCGTAAAATTCTTTATAGAATGCATCTTTCACAGAAACTCAAGCTGCGCTCCGATTCTGTCCCCCTTCTTCGACACTCGGCCAACAACATGACTTCCAAGACTTCAGAAGCCACAGCTCCAGTAAAGACCCGTAACAATCTTAACATTAAAGACAAGCGCAACATCAAAATTGGAATCGTCGCACTTCGGACTATCGGCAAATGGACTGATAAAGCTGCACTGACGCTAGAGAAGCTCGAGAGTCAAGACACGTCGAAGCACAGCCATGAGCACAAGGACCGCTTGAATACAAATAACAGGAGTAGTGCGAACGGAGAAATTCAGGAACCTGGGCTATGGAGGGAGACTGTGGTGTGTCCTGTACCTGTTCGAACTGGTGTTTCCAAGGCAGCGGAAGTACGCGACGAGCCAACGGCGTGTCGGGAATTACTAGCATTTGGAAGGGAAGAAGCCCACGATGCCGTCCAAGTAACCGAGGTTCCAAACCGGGAGGATCATCATGCGCACACCTTAGCTACTGTTCCTGAGTACTACAGCGAGAGTAGTGATGATGAAGACGAAAGAGATACCTGCGGCGAAAATGTCATTAGGAACGATGCTAAAATCCACACGGATACAGACCAATGCTCTTCGGATGTTTCGAGCGATGGAGAGGAAGACAACAACGACAAAAATTTAAGTCCTGGAAATAGCGACGACGAGACCGACAGTGATTCAGCGGATAGTTCAGATGATGTCAGTGATTCAGGGGAAGAGGTAAGGATAAAGTATTTGGCTGTTTTACATGCGAAGAAATGATAGACTGGAATGGCGGCAGCAGAGGTGGTCGCGTTACACGGAAGAATGGTTTGATTGAGTGATATAGTTCGGAACATGGTAGAAAAACCAGAATTCAGTAATCTTATTTGGAAAGCTATGGTTTTACTGAGTATGAAGTTTTCGCTATGGTGATCGGATCGTTATGCTGTAGCACTTCGGCACATGTACCGCAAAGGCTACACAATTGTTGAATTATGGACTAACTGAAGTGTATTGAGATACGTTGTAATGCTCTATCTACGGGTAAAGTAGTCCTTATATCCCTTAAACCTTTCTTTGTCTTGAAGTTTGACTGTATAGTCGTTTGTCTTAGACAACAACAATGACGTACTTGTGCGACAACAACAACAACACCTGGCTTATCGCTGGAACAATTTTGTCGCATCGTTTGCGAGTTCTATTCTGGATTTTCTGAGCGCACCGATGTAAAGCTTGTAGTAGTACTGTGGTATTGGTCGGTAAGTGAGGTTGGTTTGCTTTCGCAAACCGCGAGTATCTCGCCTTCATACCATTGAACAGTATTTTACAAACACTCTTAGCGCGTCACTTATTTACACTCACTTTCGCTTCTTCAGAATACCGCGTTTGCCTTTCCATCCTGGGTGGCAACAAGTTCGGAGAGCCCCGTTGATCGGCTTTGCCCTGCATGTCATTCTTTTGGGTCCCGTCCGTATCCTCACAGCAACCACCCGCATCTTCGTCAACAACACCACAATTGTTGATCGCGACAATGTCAACACATTTTCGCCCGCGTCCGCCTACTTCAGGACCTCCAAGCCCTACTCGTCCATCAACAGCACGCTCTACGATTCGCGCGATCTCTCCATCACCGCCGCCGAGTTTGAGTGACGCACTGCGACTGGATCTAGCAAGCACTGGCACGCCGAATTTCGATCACCAAATTACACCTGAGAGTGCAAGAGAGCGGCCTAAGAGTGATGGTTTTAATCAAACATACATGTATGGTTTCGGCGAACAAGAGACAGAATTTACAAACTATGTCGCAACCGCGGAAAACGGCAACTTCGGCAGCTCTCCTGCAGATATCACTGCCAACGTGACTACCAAAAGAGGTGGCAGTGTAATGGAAAGGCAATCGCCAGTGAAGCGCACTTCGAGGTTGAGTAGTCCCAAGAAGCGGCCGTATAGCACACCAACGGAGCTATCCTTGCATCGCCTGTCGCCATCACATGGCCACGATCGAGAACAGGGTGCGAGTCCACATCAAAAGCAGGTTCAAGTCGAGAGCGACAGCGACGCAAATTGGGATTGCCCAGATACACCCACTCCTATGACAAATTCCCAGAAGCGCTCGGCATATCTCCCACTCGGCAACCCAACGCCTTGCCCCAACTCCAAACGCTCTTCTAAACCAAAGTCGAGATCAAATCCTCCCATTCTCACTTCTACTATCTCAAACCCAACACCAAAGCTCGAGTTTTTCGAATCGTTCGACAATCAATCACCCTATCATTCTAGATATTTCGATATCGTTCATCCGCAAACGTATTCTAGAGAAGAAGAGACGCTCAGAGAGTTTTACGCTCATGCCGAACGTAAGAAGATGCGCGAAGCTATGGAGACAAGAGCAAGGCCAATGGAGAGAAGGCCACTCATGTCTCAGCCTGGCTATGTGTCGTCAACAAATGACGGTGCGGCGATGCAGCGACCAGAACGGGAGCACGGTATTCACCCACGAATGCATCTAGCACCGCGACAGCACGCCGTGGATGCACCTTTGCGGGACAATGTAATAGGGCCGGCCTCCAATGTGCAGCGACAGGTATCCATATCCGAGGACTCCCACCTCTCTGGGGGCACAGCGTCCAGCAAGCAATCTGTGTTCAGTACGCCTGGAAGAGACGAGATGGAGAGAAAAAAGGCGCTTGTCGAGGATGACGAAGGTCCGTTTGCTAAAGCGATAAGCATGGCCGATCTGGATGAGCGACGCAGGGTAGTGAGTGAGCAGCGTGCGGGAGACGATCGAAGGGCTGCAATCTTGGAGGCAGAGAGTAGTCAAAAGAAGAGAAAAGATAGGGCTTGCGGATTGGGAGTGGGATGCAATGTGATGTAAGGGCTCACCGAAAGTTTGAAGACGTTCGTCTTGACTCCGTGTCAATGCGAGGGAGCGATTGAAGGTTTCTGAATACAGGATGCAAGTGACAAGAATGAGTAATGAAGCGGCCATTAGTTCGATGCCTCAAACGATTTGAGGCCTATGGTATTGTAGTAATAAGCGTATGGCAATATCTTAAATGCTTGTGAAAGTGAACGTATCGCGATCAAACAGTGAATGCGACTTCCGGCCGGCGGATCCGTGATGCACCCTTGTACACCTATTTCACACTCAACCCTCTACTCGGCTGACACCCCTTGGAGCTACTCAGCGCATCAAAAGTAAACCACCACTAATGCCTATGGCGCCAATGATAGTACAAGCACCATACATGCTTGACCATCTAACCGCCGATGCGCAGCGAATATCGGCAAGCCTGCCACCAGACGACTGGCACTCGGAATTTGTCGTTCTTGAGTTGAAGCGTGATATTAATGGAGGAGGAGTAGTGCTGGTGAGTGGTATCGCGTTGTTAATTGCATAGTCCACTGAACCTAGCTTCTATAAAGCCGCCATCACCCATGCAGGACGATGCCGAGGCCGCTGGGGACTCGCACGGCAGTATCTTGGAACGTTTGAGAGGACTGTTTCGTACAGCTATTCGACGCCTTCGCGGGCACCGGAAGGACGCAAACTCGTCTTGATTGAATATTTGGGCATTGTTGTAAGTTGGCACCAAACTTTGAAGCGTTGGTATGTGTGAACAGCTTCCTCAAGATTCAAGCTAATAACGCTTCTTGGACGAAGACTCAGTTGCAATGTCGAGCGCCTGGAGGATATCGGTACCGAAGACGACAGTCATATATGCTGGGAAAATTACCCAAAGACCACTGCGGAACGAATCAGCGTTCCTGTCACTTCAGACGCTAAGCGCAGGCGGAAAAACAGTTCGACTCACTTCATGATACCGTAGAAGAACAGCAGCGTAGCCCAGTCGTTATGGCCGACATTTGCGAAGCCAGAGAAATACTCGTTGAAGTCTACAATTGTTAGCCTGTGCTTTGGCTATGTGCCGCATGAATACGCACAATATAGTACTGTCTTGCTGAGAGTCATAACCGCAGCAGCGAAGCCGATAATCAGCGCGCGATTCCCATTCTTCCCGCGTACCTTCCGGCCTCCGGCAAGGAACTTGCTTACGCCCTCACTGAGTTGCAGCCCAGTGCCTCCAGTCGTGGGCACACCATGGTTATAGATGATCATGGCATAAAGTCCATACAGCACGAGTTCGATAGCGTTCAGAAAGCCTTGCGCGCCACCAAATCCATCGTTGTTTTCCCACCCGGGCCATCCGTATACGTGATCAATCGAGGCATAGATTTCATACGGTTTCCAGATTGGCCACTGAAGTGCACCGCCAGCCATAGTGTGCGGGCGCAAAAGGATGTACAGGGAGTCCCATAGCACGAGAGGCATGGATATGGCGAGCCACACTATAGTGAGATTTGACGCTGTGTGGCACCAGGCCGGCTCGTCGATCTCGGATGGAGAGGGAGGGCTGATCTCGGTTTTGGCATTGGAAACTGCGCGTCTGGCAAGCGACTTTGCCGATGGTGGGGAGTCAAGGTCCGGGGAAGATATGGGTGCCGGGGACGCAGTCGAAGTCCGCGACCGTGGCGCCTTCTTAACGGGCGAAGGTTCGGTGGCGGGGAAGTCGCCTTGGGGATGTGAGCGCGTAGACACCATGGTGGCAATGAAGAACCAAGCGCGAGTGGAGAGTGTAGGAAATGACTAACAGTGGTGAGAAGCACAATGGCAGGCAGGATGTAACGTGTTGTGATGATGCAAATGATGCTAAACAACTAGTGGAGAGCGGGTCCAGCTTTAGCCGGCGGGGCTGTACCTCAGACGGAAGGAGCTCTGCCTATCAACCAATCATGGTCTGAGACGCAACCTACATTTTCCCATTGGCCGCCAATTCCTAACCCTCGTCACTCTTTCTCATGTACAAACATCTCCTGCTACGTGCCTAGTAACTGCAAGTAACCTATCGCCCCTGAGGCAAGCGAGTCTACCAGAGCAGCAATCATTCTTCAGAACGATACCGGAGACCAAGCTCTCAAGAAAGAATATGGTACCCGTTCCGATGATGATGGAGCTAGGTCGCATGGACAGATGGAGCGCGAGAGACTTGCTAAAAGATGAGCGAGTCACTGCTAACGGAGTATGTGGGCCGTGTAATCGATAGGTATCAGGCAGGCGATGAGGTAGGTTTCTCATGTCTTCTAAACGCTTCTCTAGTCGCTCCGCTCTACGTTCTTCTCTAGGGCTGCTTGTTGGCTCTTTTCACGCAATCATCACTGTCAAAGTTGGCATAATCAATCAGCAACTTCATATACGACTCTACTCCCCACTCAACCTACTCCTTGTCAAAGTTTCTACCTATTTCATCAAGGAGCAAGAAAGCAATCCACACAAAGAGAGTGAAATGTCTTACCCTCCGAACAGTGCCGTCGTCATCCGTCGAAGCCCGCAACACGGTATTCATATCACCAAAACCTGCTCGTCAGGCCCATCATTATCTCCGTCATCACCTTCTCCTGAAACGTCCCATTCGTGGCCATCCATTTCAACTAGCGCTCACACAATCATTTGCGCAGAGGCCTATTGCAACAACATGATCGACGTTGTGCCACATTACTTCAACACTGGAATTTCTGGTATAGACAGCAGGGTGTACATAAAAGCCAGGTGCAAAGAGTGTGAGCCGCCTGTAACAGTGCCTACCTGGTGGGTGGGCCATAGCAAGGCCAAGCAGGAAGAACAAAAGTGGGATGAGGCGAGCAGTGATGACTGGGCAGACGACTTTTGAGGCATAAGGTAACAGGGACATTCAGAAGACAGGAGAGGTGTTAGCATAACTCTTTCATGTGAAAGCTTGGAGACTGGATTTGATCAACACTTATATCTATCCATCATGTATGATCATGTCTGTTACTTGATGTTTCTCAGCGCAGTGGTACACCGCTCATGTAAAACCCAAGATGAAAAGACATGCTCAAATCCAGGTCCGTTGCGCATGCCTATACTCATCAACCTCAGCGTTCTCGCAGGGCAAAGCTATGTTTGTCTCGCACACATAGGCGCCATTCCACATCTGAAGAAACCATGTTGACTAAATATCAATGTGAGTCAAGGGGACAGGCGCAGCGGTCTTCTAACGGGTGCGAGTGCGCCCTCGTAGCACCTCCGCCTCATCCGCCGTGACAGACATGAGACCGGAGCCCTTCTCGTCAAGCTTCTTCTTCAATGACTCAGCAGCAAGCTGCTCTCTTGCAATACGCTGACGTTTCTCAGCCTGGTTTTGCTCCCAGCGCTGGCGGCGCTCTTTCTCCCGGCCCTCGGCTCGCTTCTTCGCGTATCCAGCGAAGAAGATATCAGCCGACTCCATAGCCTTCTTCAGACGAGTGTGCTTCTCCAGAAACGCCTCGAAGTCTTCAGCATCAGGTATAAGACCTTTGTAGCGATCATGACAGAGGTGGTTGATCATCGCAGTCCAGAGCGGGTCTTTATCAGAGGTGGCGTTCTGTTCGATAGCAATGATCTCCTCGTAACTCGGAAGATGGGTCTTAAGATAACCAATATAGCCGGTGAGGATATGACGGCAATAACGCTCCATGCCCAACAAGCGAGCGGCGCACAAGATAGCAACGTCCTCGCCAAAGGTCTTCTGAGCTGGGATGGCATAGGCTTCAAACTCATTGCACGTCTCCTGCATCCAGTCAATGAGCAGAAAGCGGACTGCGCCAGGATGAACCTGACCACGCGAGAAACGATATTCTAGCGACTCAGGATTGGCGGTGAAGTGCTTGTGAAGGACAGAAGAAGTAGCCATTGCAGCGCGCTTGGAGATATTGATAACCGACGTTCCACCCACGTGAATGGTTATGCAAGGGCCCTGAAGAAGATCTTGACGCTCAGGTCGTATCATTACCAACAGGTTGTCTAGGGCCTGATCCACGATAGGAGAAGACGATAGTTGACCCGGCTTCTTAGGCAAAGCATCAGATGCCGAAACACCAGCATCACTGATGCTGGGAGCATTGGCTGTCGACCCAGCGTTTTGCTCCTTCATGACGTTCTTGACGGTAATGACGGATTTGGTCAAAAGAGCCTGATCTGAAGAGGAAATAGTAACGTTGAGGTCCTTGGAAAGTGCGTTCTTCTTGGCAGTCCTGCTACGGTGGGCACGCGCAGCCTTGGGCATGCCTTGGTCGTGGAGTATGGGTGGCTCACTATACTTATAGTTAGTCCATGATGTAAATGCTACAGCGAGTGATTCTTACGACGATTCGCTGGTGGAGAGGCTTGTCGCATTATCGGCTGTTGTCATTGTGAATTTGATGATGACAAGGGCGCAAATCTAGCGATCCAACTTGATTTTCCTTGTCCGAAATGGAGAAAAAAGAGAGGTTTCAGATGGGAAGGTTTTTGACTGGTTTGGGTGCGCTGTAGTCTTCTCTGGGGAGCTCGACGCGCAGATTGTTTACCTGCAAACGACTATAATATGATCACGTGACTCGTCAGCAACTGCCTGTAAAGCGGTCGAAAGGCGGATACAAACGCCAAGTCAAAGTAAATGGAAGAAAGCATCGTCTGAGGTTGCGTATGTCAGTGAGCATAGGAGAGAATATTGATATTGGTCATAAGTAGGCTAGTCGTTTCCATTCCATGCCCCTCTCTTTCCAGGGCTTACCTCTCTCTCGGTTCTCTTTCTGCAGGATATCGTTGCAAGTCTTTCTCGTGTGGCACTGGGCTTTCACTCTCACTATCATTAATCTTCAACATGGTCATAGCTCTTTCTGAGTTGGACCAGATCTGAGTTGCATGTACCTTTTGTTTGACAGGCAAGCTGCTTGGCATTCTCCCTTTGTTCGACACAAGATCTTTGTCTATGACAAAGACTGTATGTAGTATTTAGCTAGGACAAGTTTCTCTGTAGGGTTATGATCCGAATGTACATTTACTACTATTGGGTCTCTGTTTGACCACCTTTCGCTTGTGCAGTCTAGATGAAGATAGTGAAACGCGAGAAAGTCGTGCTACAGTAAAGGACTTGTCGCGTTAGCGTCACGCGTGCATTCGCGGCCATGAGTGGCGCCGGCCAATCTCACACGGGATGGCGCGAATCTCAAGCTCCGAGCAATACTCCTCTTTACGCGCAGTCGTTGAGGCACATCACGGTTGTAACAAGCCTGTGATTGTACGAAAGCGCGCAGAAGGCATATTGTTCCAAGCCTAGTCTCTGTCTATGGTTATACAACCTACTCTGGTTCGATGCAAGGTCCAACCATTAGGTTTGTACTCTATCCAAGCAAAACCTGATCCAGTAGACATTAACGAAAGCATGCGTAGGAAAATTGCCGTCAATCTATGAGCCATATTTGAGGAATAAAAACTTATCCCAAAGACAAGAACTGTTACCTTTGAAACTAGAAATGTCTACATCACTGCGTTTATCCTAAAGGCACGTTGTTGGTAGTGGCCAAAAGGCGTGTCAGTGGAATATAGATTGAAACATGATCTCCTAGCTTTCGATCCGACATTTGGATGAAGAACAAATAGTGGATCTTTGAGCTGATGCGAAAGGTGTTGATGCGTCGATCTTATACACTTACTCGGGGTAGACCATCTTTCTCCCGACACCGCCATCCACGACAACCTCCTGACCAGTCACAAACTCGTTTCCAATGAGGTATTCTACCGCCTTCGCGATATCCTCCACTTTACCCACTCGCCCAGATGGGTGCCAAGCAGTGTCTTCCTTGCTCAAGCCTTCCTCCCACTTGACATTACCATCATCTGCAGCTTTGTTCTCGTTGGCTACGTGAATCCATCCCGGGATAATTGCATTGACCCTGATCTTGTGACGATGGCCTAAAGATATTGCCATCGACTGTGTCAATCCTAACAGTCCAGCTTTGACGGATGAGTAGGCTTCGTGGTCAGATTCAGATTGGTAGGCGCGCGTTGATGACATGTTGATGATAGTACCAGGAGAGTTCGGAGTAGAGCGTCCAGCAGCTAGAAGTGGGACGCAAAGGCGGCTGAGTATGTACGGCGCAGTGAGTCCAATCGCAACCTTCAAATCCCACTCTTTTTCGATGTCTTCTCCTTCAGCTTCCATACTTCGATCTTCGGATAGTGAGAGATCGGTGGGGAAAGCATTGTTGATCAAAACATCGAGCCTGCCCCCAAACTTTCTTTCAACTTCGTCGACAGCAGTCTTCAATTCCGTTCGCTTGCTGAGGTCGCATTCAAGCGCAAACCAGCTCTCCTTCCGCCCTTTTGACCATTCTTGTGCTCGATATCTGACATGCTCTAGCTCTTCCTTGTTGGAGTCTAGGATTATGACATCGTGTCCAGCTGTCAGGAGTTGTCTGAACAGTCCGCGCCCAATTCCTCGGGCACCGCCGGTCAGCAGAACTTTGAGTTGTTGGGGAGCGGCGTTCATTTTTATTGAACCCTTGGTAGGAGACGATGATAAAGCCTAGGTGTCGCGATTACGAGTTGAACGTACGCGAATGGCTACATTGATTAATCTCGCTAATAGAAAGTAGTAAAGTTTGCGTGGTCCATGACGTCATGGCCATGACGATTCCACTGCTTGTGCCCTACCAAAACGATACGTGGTAGAGAGATAAAGGTCATAACCATTGTGAGGGCTCACGGACACATAACCATACTCACCCTTGATTCAGATTATGGAACTTCCGCAACTGCGATGTTTGTAACGATCCGACGTGACATCTGGGCATCGCTGCACACGGTGATTTAGGGTACATTCGAATCGCACGCGCTTGTTAAAGGCATCTGAAGATGTATAACAGAACGTAAGAGTAAATTAATTGTTCTATGTACAAGGAAGGAAAGCTAAGTAATGTGGTAGAAGTATAAAGCACCAAGTGAGCGTTCGTGGGTGGATCACGTGATTCACTTGGTGGGGCCTGAATAGGTACTTAGGTAGCATCTGTAGACTTTGCCGCCATCTCATGACTCTAGCACCTCGGCTACAAGCCGGAATCGATCTGGTTAAGAACAACTCCAGCTGTGTAGGCATCCCAGGTATCGCAGAGCTCAAATTGCTCGTCTTCAAAGGCCTGCTTCTGGATGTCCTCCGGCCTCTCCAAAATCTGCATGAAAAGCCCACCGCTAACATGCCACGCCAGATGACAATGCAAAGGCCAGGCGCCGGGATTGTCTTGAGTGAACTGTAGAACTAGGTACGAGGGCTCAACTGTTCCGGTGACATTGCGCGCATTCTGCATCTGGTGAACGTCGCGACGCAGCGTGTTCTCCGGATTTGTGACGACACCATCCCATTCACCAAAGCCTTCCGCAAGAATGTGGTAGTCGTGGCCGTGGAGATGCATAGGGTGGCCACCAATAAGACCGTGGTTGACAAGATGAATCCGGACGTTCTTTGCACCAGGAAACTGGTACACGTTCCATTCGGGATCGAAGTCTGACTCGTTACGCTTCGCTTTCAGGAGTGTGGGCTCGTTGTAGTTCCCATGATATGTGCTGTTGTTGAGGTACCAGATGAAGTTTGTGCCATTGGAGCGGAAATCGAAGTCTACGCGCTCGACATGATCAGGTTCTTCCAAAGGGATCTTGCAGAGCGGAATGGCGGACGTAATAGGGTCATTCTTGCACTGCTCAAGCTGAGCCTGGGTGACATCAGAGCTTGTCTGAGGAATGGCGTTGGTATCGGCATCCTCGTAGTAAACTGCCGCAAGGGCGTTTGGCGAGATGCCGTCAGTCAGAGTGCAGCGGAATCCTTGGGCGAGCTGAGAGCGCATCCAGAACGTATCACTGGGCTTGCCGATAGCTTCGACCACAACGTCAGTGCGCTGACCAACAGCGAGAGTAACAACGTTCGTCATGTACGGTTCAACCGGAATGTAGTCGACGGCAATGACCTTCAGCTGGTGCCCATCGATGCTAAACTTCTGGTTGCCCTCTGCACCCATATTAATAAGACGTAGTAGATGCTTTTTTCCAGACTCGAACTTGAACTTGGAGGTACCTGCATTGGGAGTGCAAGGTAGCGTTGTGTTTGCACAAGGATAGTTCATTCTTCCATTGATCAGGTTGTTGTTTGAAGGCGGGAATAGGCCATTCATGGTACCCTCAACAAGAGAATAGTAGTCGGCGTGGAACCAATCCTCAAGGATGATAGGTCCTACGTCGATGTCATACTCTTCATGCTTTGGTCCATGGATGACCATAGGGCCGTGAGCACCACCAGAATACTGAGCACTGTAGTGACCTAAGAAACTCAGCCTTGGCATTTCATAGTCTAACTTGGATGAACTTACTGTGATACCAAGATGTGCCATAACGATCGGCCCGGAAAAGCATCTCGTAGTATCCACCGTTGGGCGAAATTGGACACTGAGAAATAGCAGGAACACCATCATACCAGGATGTCTCGGTCTGAAGGAGGCCATGGGCGTGAAGTGTAGTACCTTCATCGGTCAGGTCATTTGTGACTCTCCACAAGATCCAATCGCCCCTAGTTTACGGTCAGCTAAAGCCTTACGTCATTTCGCGCTACCTCGTACCAGTTGGCCTCGATGAGAGGGCCAGGGAATTGGCCATTTACAGTCAAACCATTCCTGGTAACACCGTCCGGAGCAATGGTCTGATAAGCTACATGAAGATCGTAGGTCCTTGTCACGCCAGTGTCCGGCATGGTAGGACACAGGGGATCTGCCGTCGGTGTGCTGGCAGCACTTGCGGTAACAACGGATCCAAGAGTCCTGGTGGAGGATTGCCTGATAGACTCGAAGCCTGTGGCGTTGGTATGGTTGTTTGGATGGCCAGATACCGTAGGATAAGGCGGAAATGTGGATGGAAGCTTTGTAGAATTCGATGTGTAGGCGCTATCAGAAATACTACCGGGGAGGCCGTTGACCGGAAGATGAGGTGAGTCAATTAGTCCCCATTGTGAGTTGCCACACTGTTCAACATTTGGTAGCAAAGGCTTGAGCTGCCCAGTACCCTTTGGGATCCAGCATGGCTCATCATACGCATCTTTAGCAGGCCCTCCATATTGATATGGAATCGAAGGTCGAGGAGGAGGGTATTCCTCCCCATGCGATGGTTTTCCCGGCCACTCGAATGGAAGGGGTACGTCGTTGTAAGGATTATAGTATGGCCCGCCATGTCCATGAGCGTTGGTAGTGGGCCGTGCAGTGGCATATTCAGTCACTGTCGCTGTGACTACATGGCAGATAGGCGCGGAGCGGAACGCAGAAGGGGTAACTGCGTGGTAAACAGATGACAAAGATGCTGTAGCAGCGAGGTAAGGAGCGTAGGCTACCATGTTTGTAGCAATGGAAATAAGCCGTACTACTCTCAATGAGCGAACACGACAAGAATGACCGCGAAAAGAATGAACGACTGTGTTGAAAAGCAAGGCACATCGTTCGAAGACATGATCACGGTCAGTGTTATATGGGATTCCCTTGAGACTATGCCAGGTACCAATGTGCTAAGTTTGGCTGTGGGGCTTGAGTTACGAAGAGACAAGCCGTGTGGCGGTAAAAAGTACAGACTCGAAACCTGAATGCGGTCGAGATAACCGAAACCGAGGCGAGGCGCAAGAAGTAATGAGCTGTAAGTCTTCCATTTACGGATCAGGCAAGCAAAATTCAAGGATTGTAACACGAGCTGAACCTTACTTTTACGTTCAACTCGAATTTCCCTTTGCATTGTTCAAGCCCTGAGGCGGGAGAGGGGGGACCAGGCAAGCCACTCAGCGTCAGCGTCATGAACATTGAGGAAAGATCTGCAGACGCATAGTCCGTGACCTCTCATGCCGTTGCCGTTTACGCGTTTAGAGTTCACCGGAGAATATGCAGGTACGTGCCGACAACTGTCAAGATGTCCAGTCGCGTACCGGCGACGCGTCTGACATACTGACAACACCACAGGTCGCCACGAGGTCGGGGGTGTTGAGTCATGTCTAGCTTGCAGTGGCATGTCAGAAGACTACTATAGTTCGATACCTCGAATAGCGGGTCACTCAGTCTAATCTTTTGTTGTTACGACGCCTTGTGTAGTGCTGCCGTAAGTGCCGTGTGCCTAAGGAGTCTGAAAACATGCTAGGTAAGCTCGCGTAGAACCGTTCAGCAATTGTGGCTTGGACGGGTCGGGCGGTAAAGTGTTCTCCTGAGGTGGTGGAAACAATGTGAAGAAGGCTGTGTTGCGGAAGCAGAGGTCATTGGCAAAGTGATGTTTGAGGCGCCAGGATAAGCACTGGTTAGCGAAGACGACTCCCCGCACAGGCCAAGTCGGCTAGAAAGGGGTCTGGTGCCGATCTCCCATGTCCATCTTTGCTTCAACTCTAGGCTGCCTGTTGTAAAGGACGTTGTTACGACTCACAAGAGACTACGCATTCGAACTGGGTGGGTGGTCTTCTCTACATGTGAGGTTGGATACTTGGTACACAACTCGTTGCCACGATTGTCGCTACCTAGGTACCACAGAGTCGAAATCTCGAAGATGAGTATACGACAAGAAGAACTCTTAACGCTTACTGTGGCGCGCTACATCCCGCCCGACTGATAAGGATGAATCTTACATGACTCGTTGTCAGTTTTGTTCTTCTGGTGAAGGGCATCACTTTGTTGTGTTCACGCGTCCCAAATGGCGATTTTCATGAGGTTTAACTCACCAAACTCTAAAGAGCCATGATGCTGCTTGATAGCAGGTATGTACTGGAGAACACTGCTCAACCTCCGATGTAGTTCCTATCTATCACCCTACACCATCATACATGCGTGCAGATCTTATTTCGGCTCCCCACCCGGGATCCACTGAGCCGCGCGCGCTTATTATAGGCGTCTTTCCTATATGGAAGTACTCCAGGTTTCGAGGTTCTCTATCACATCCCACAGCCAACACAATTGATCTTTACTCTTCGCGTGCTGTCGATGAAACGCCAACAGTTCGACAGTTCGCACCCGCTACAGTGCATGACGAATCGAAGCCAATCCGCACTACAATCCATGCATTGCTGGGAGTAGACATGCTCAGCGAATTCTGATATCGGGGCTGTCTGGATGGTAAGACCAGGACGATTGAGATAATGCTCTTCTCACTGTGGACACGTGTATATCTCCCAAGGTCCGCCACAGAAGTAGCAGAATGAATGACTCTAGTAGCAAGTCATGTAGAAACAACATCGAGAAAGCTCGACCATGTTCATTGCTACCACTTCCATTGCTTGGCTAAATTCAATGAGGAATCACACGTGTATGTCACTTGGACACAATTTCTTATGTACCTGGCGTTTGCACTGCATACAGATTCTCTTTTTACACTCGATTCAAGTGTTTGCTTCGCTGCTGATATATTCAAGGCGGATGAGAGCCGTGCAGTCAGTATCAGCGCAATAAGCTGGGTTGAGCGTCATGAGCTTCCTCACCATGAGGTCGATTTTTTTAGTGTGTTGCTTCGGAACAATCTTGCCGCAGACATCGAGAGAAGTAAGAACCTTCCAGCACTTGGGAAGAAAGGTGGAGACGCCGTCGAGAGCCATAGTGAAGGGATCGAAGAGGCAGTGCCGACAATAGCTGTAAGCTACGTGTTCACGCTCAAGTGTCAAGGTGTCTACGGCCGGTACACCGTCAATACATGCCTCCCAAAATTTGAGGTGCGCTTCTGAGAGTAGTTCTGCGTTGTGGTATGCTTTCTCTCTGGTATTACTCGACGCACTGAGACCAGAAAATGCGCCAGGAGCGATCTCGTACGTGCATATGTCTGTGTAGGGTCCCTTAGCATGTGCCCACTGTTTATCGGGTCCAAGACAACGATCGCGAGTTAGGTTTGAAGCGCAAGTAGAGCCGGGTAGAAAGTCTTAATCATCGGTTTACAAATAGGACAGGGCCAAAGCGAGCTGCTGATCCGCAATTGCTTGCTCCTCTTCTTCGACAAGCCTTTCGAGCTCGGTGCGGCTCTAGCATTCAGAGTCAGCTGGCACTCGCACCGTTTTATTTGAGTCGAAAACTGTCGTAGCCGTTCCGGTTCCTGGAGTACAGTGCGCGATATTGGGGTCTCTTCGTCTTCGCGGCAAACCTGTGTGGGCTTGACTGGATTGGGATTCGAAACAGTGCGACCGCGTTTGTTGTTCAAATTAGGCCGTCAATGGTTCTATGATCATAGTGGCAGGTATGCTAACATCAGTAGACCTTTACCGCCAAGCTTCTGTTAAACTTGAACACAGCGGCTGCAACTTAGATCTTTCAACTCATGCGCGTGCATGGACAAGTGCTCGGCAAGCACCTCAAGCGTATAGTTGGACTGAAGTAGAAATAGCTTCCTAGGCAGCCTACGTTTGATGCTGGCTACTTTGAACCCAGCGTGTCACACATGAGACCCAACATGAGATCAATTTTGACGGCATGAGAAGCTCGGATTCTCTCAGATATACGAGATAACTCGATGTAGTCATGGCGTTGAGTCTCATGGGACGCACATAGCGACAATCCACATCGTTAACGTGCTCGTTACGGCAATCGCTGATTGAGCCACTTGCAAGGGTATCCTCGTCAGTTGTTCTTGCTTATCGTCGATACCTCAGAGGTAAGTCTGTGTACAAGTTCGGGTTTTAAGCGCAATGACATTGCAAAAGATCCATCACTCCATCGTAGAGAATGACTACCTGAGTACACTCTGAACTGTGACTGGTGCGGCGCACTAGCGCATGACATCACCATGGTCCTTTGCTATCGCCGCGCAATAGGCCTCCCTCTTCCTTCGCACAACAGCTCACGCCACAACCCATCAACCGATACGTCCTGTTCTATACCGCCTCTGGTCGCTTTGCGCTTCGACCCGCGTCAATACTTTCCTCTGAGGCTCCGACCTGCGAACCCAGTGCTGATCTTACAATTAGTGTTTCGTCTCGCCCCACCACGACGTTTCAACGTGCCGTGCGAGAAACATACACGAGCGGGTATCTGTCCATCATTTCATCCGCATTATGTTGCAAACACCCGTTCAAGGTACTATCCTGTCGCTATTTAACCGTCTTGTCATCTCTCAGTGAACATGTTCATGTTCATGTTCACTCCCGGAGCCGGTGCCAGTATCTCAACCCTGGGCTCGAAGACCCGCATCGGATCTTAAGCTGCAGATTCTTTGAAATTGCGGAGGATACCATCAATAGAATTTGCAGCTTTGCGCCGTTACACAATCATCTCCGAGACAGAGCTGCCGCCAGGCCCAATGCATTCGAATAGTCGTTGCAATTCATGTCTTACAAGTAGTACCAGCACTGTTCTAGCAGAGAGAAAACACCAAGATAGACGCATCGATATGCACTGCAATCCCTTGTGTTGGATGGCATCACCAACAATTTGCGAAGGATGGCTAAGAGCCCCTGCAATGCAAAGGAATCTCGCCTTGTCATAGGTCAAAACAGCACTAAGCCATACTCGGCTCGAACTCCAGGCACCGTATATATCCACCAATCAGCGCCCCGCACGTCAAACCTGTCACTTTTCGACTTGACCCATGGACCTGGTTCTGGTTCCCAAGACTTCTGTTCGTGGCATAGGACCCCATCCTTCGTTCATCTATCCGCCTGTGGCTGCAGACACATAGCGCCCTGACGTTAGGTTCGAGATTGGACCGGTGGTAAACGAAACGGCTAACCATGCAGCGTGCCACATATCCCTCGGCATCACGGCTCAACTCATCTCCTGTGCTGAAGGAGGATATAAGCCTTGGAGCCCGCCAGCTTTTGAAACAGTAACGCAGCTGCGCTGGACATTCTTTCACTACGAGACTTCGTCATTCATTCGTTCTTTTGCTTTTTCAGTCACTCTTTTGTCATATTTGACTAGTCATTCATTCCAAACATCACTACTCGCATCAACATATACACTATGAAGTCCGTAGCTGTCCTCCCTGCCATCTTGGCGCTTGCAAACGCCCACGCCACTTTCCAACAACTCTGGAAGAACGGAAAGGATCTCGAGAGCACTTGTGCCAGGTTGCCACCTTCCAACAGCCCCGTCGAGGATTACACCAGCAATGCTCTCCAATGTCAGTCTCCTGTAGATCCGGTCGGTCATGAATGCTAACAATAGTATAGGCAACGTCAGCCCCGCTCCTGCTGAGGGAAAGTGCGACTTCGAGGCCGGTGACACAGTAACCATCGAGATGCATCAGCACAACACCCGTGACTGCAAAGAGGAAGGCCTCGGTGGTGCTCACTGGGGTCCTGTTCTCGCATACATGTCCAAGGTTGAGGACGCAGCCACCGCCGACGGTTCCAGCGAGTTCTTCAAGGTCTACCAGAACACCTGGGCTAAGAACCCAGATGCCACTCAAGGCGACAACGACTTCTGGGGTACCAAGGACCTCAACTACAACTGTACGTACAAACATGTATAACTCTAGCGGCATGTCTAATATCTCTGCAGGCGGAAAGCTCGACTTCACCATTCCCAAGAACATCGCTCCTGGTGACTACCTTCTCCGTGCTGAGGCAATCGCCCTACACGCTGCAGGCCCAGCCGGTGGTGCTCAGCACTACATGACTTGCTACCAGCTTACTGTCACTGGTAGCGGAACTCTCGAGCCTAAGGGTGTCACCTTCCCTGAGGCCTACTCAAAGACTGGCCCCGGTCTTGGTTTCTCAATTCACGCCGACCTCGACTCATACCCCGCCCCTGGCCCTGAGCTGATCGCTGGCGGCACTGAGGCTACCCCTCAGCTCCTCACTTTCGGCGAGCTCGCTGGTGCCCCTGCCGCCACCGCTACCGGTGGTGCCGCTGAGACCCCCGCTGCTTCCACTCCGGTTTCCGTTGCTGCCTCTTCTACTGCTGCTCCTGCTACCAGCAGCGCCGCTGTTGAGGCTGAGCCTTCTTCCGCTGCACCAGTTGAGGTGTCTTCTGCTGTTGAGAGCTCCGCAGCTGTCACCTCTGTCGCCGTTTCGTCTGCGGCTGCCCCTGTCGAGTCTGAGGTTGTCTCTACCCCTACTCCTGAGGTCTCCAGCGTTGTTGCTCCCTTCCCTGTAGCAAACAGCACCTCCTCTATGCTTCCCGGCACCGCATCCCCCGTCGTCACTTCCAGCGTTGTCGTTGCTCCCACAACCATGCTTACCGCCGTCCGTCCTACCCAGACCGCCGAAGCTTCCGGTCCCATCAAGGAGTACTACCAGTGCGGTGGCCAGGGCTTCAAGGGTACCGGCGAGTGTGCCGAGGGTCTTGAGTGCAAGGACTGGAACCCATGGTACTCTCAGTGCGTCAAGCCCGAGGCTACCAAGCCCGGTCCTTCCAAGGGTCCTATGCCTTCCTCCGCTGCTGCTTCCAAGCCTACTGCCACCGCCGTGTCCCCCAAGCCCACCGCAGAGGCTCCCAAGCCTTCCGCTGAAGCCCCTAAGCCCTCTGCCGCTAAGCCTACTTCCGCCGCTGCCGTCGAGGCTAAGCCTACCTCTGTAGCACCCGTCGCTACTGAGCCCTCAAAGCCTGCTGCTTCATCTGCACCTGCTGCCGGTGCTGGTGAGAAGACATACACCCTCGAGACCTTCATTGCTTTCCTTGAGCAGGAGGCTGGTAGCGAGTCTGCTGCCAAGATCCGCCGTATGATTGAGGCCCTTCAGTAAACGATTCCGCATCTTGTGCGATGATTCTTTTGTACATATACTTCTCCTAGAAGGGGAACTTCGATTCTTGTAGCGATGTTTTTTGGAATGATACTTGTCCACTTCACATTTAGTTTTTCACTTCGTGATTTATTATGACCTGAATCATGATGGCTACTGGTGGTTTGTCCAGAGGGGATAAACCCCCTCTGCAACGATTTCGATAAAATCTGCATTGTTCATGATGGGGCACGCTAATGCTCTCAGTGGCCGTCTTAGTATTTTCGAACGTGCTTGACATATTTATTCATCCACCTTGACACTCGGCTCTTCATCGTATCAAGATCTACATCTTCGCAGTCTATCATCGCCTCTGTCGCTCACTCGACATTGCCTGTATTACCAGGACTTTATCAGCATGTGATGAATGTGGTGAGTGAGGTAGGCACATAAGTATTGCACTCCTCACTAGCAGATACCATGTGAGTACGAAAGCTTATGCATATTGTACAAAGTTAAACCTAGCATAGCTTTGATCATAGGTGAGGTCGGTGCCAAAGCCCTAGTGTATCGTGGACATGGTGGCGAGGGAGAAGACCTGCACAATGATGACAGGAAAAAATAAGCTGCGTTTTGAGGCAGTTACGTAAACAGTTTGAGAACGACCGAGAACCCTTGTACTTCCAAAGATCGTGTTTTAAAGCCATGTTCGTCAGGTTCTCTTCGATGAAGAGTTTCGACGCCAGAGATGATTGGTGAGTGTGGGTGGAAAAGCGGCGTAATTCAAGTGAACACGAAGGATATTTGAAGTAGTTGTGAACATATCATTACATTAGTGAAAGTGCGAATCCTTGCGCCACATGCTGTCACGTTGCGCGAAAGCGCCCATGTAAAACAAAATCTAGGACCATTTCGTGGTCTGACTCCCAAACACCGTGCCATCCAAGTCGTTATCATGGCTTCGTAATGCCTTCTCTTGTGTGACTCACACCCTGAACTTCGCACTCATCATCTTCGTGAACCTTGCATTGAAAGCCTGCCTCTTCTTGCTTGCACTGCTACTAGGAATCAGGCTCGAGCAATCTTGGAGCTTACTCGCATCGCTCCCAATCACAGCAAACCGGTTCCACGCTCCTGTGAAAGCGCTGGACCAAGCATCGGCGTCATCGGCGAAGGAAGACCATGTCTTTGCTGTCTGTAGAGATAATCAGTATCATGTTAGAGGCAAGGATAAGTCATGGTCAAAACATACCTGAGACGAGTTGGAGAGAAGAACATCGCTTTGCAGACTGTATGGCGCCGTGCCATCCTTGGTCTCCTTGTAGAAGGTATTGTCGTACGTGCTAGGTGTCGAGTCCAGACTCTTGCCAGCTTGTGATGGGTCGTCGTTGAACTGTAGTGCTACACTATGTGTGCCCATGAGTGCAACAACATCATCGGCCGAGAAACCTTTCGCACTGAACGCTCCCAAGATGCTGCTTAAGGTACCACGGCTGCTCGGTACACTCCCAACGGCTGCGGCCTTGGAGCTGTCCTTGCGGCCGACCAATGCTTGAACCCTAGGGCCAAGTGGACACGCAGAGATTGCTGTTGCTGCGGCAAATTGGATCATGTCGGCTGCAGCGACGTTGTACTTATCGCTCCAGCCTTTTAACTTCTTGCAAATAGCAGAGAGGCCGGCGTTTTCGGATCTCGAGCATTCGTCCGTGAGGATTAGACTACCATCACAGCCGTTGTTGATGCAGTCATGGAAGGGCGCGCGGATGGCTCCGTGAGCATCAGCACCACAGCCAGCAAAGTCAGACTGAAGTTCGGAGGCGACATCCGACCACACGGACGGGCATTTGGATGATGAGCGAGGCCAGATATCGAAGGCCGAAGTTGACGATGCCGCCAGGGCAATGAGGATGATGGCGAAGGAACGCATGTTGGTGCAGTGGTGAGATTTGCTGTATGTAGTCTTGTGTCGATGACTGGCAAACCCCAAAGATGTTGACGATGAACTCCAATGATATATGGGCAAGGCTGTTCAGTTCAAAAGAAAGAATGACGAAACCGAGACTGACTGTTGAGACTGACTGTTGAAACCTACAAAACCAAAAGCTGGGAAACGTGAGAAACTTGAAAGAAATATATACTTCAGAGTCCAACGTTGGCCGCTCAACGGTCTGATGAGAGTTGGGCTAAATTACGGTTAGAACGATGGCCATGATAGCCACACTGACGGTTCCGTGCAAACTGTCGAAAAATCGATTACACTAAACAGCGATCTTACCCACCTAAACTCCGCAATTGCTCATCCATATGCATCCCTTATTCCCATTCTGACCGGATTCAGCTTATACCCACTTTCACCTTCTGACCATTCCGGCCCACGGTATTGGCGGGTTTGGATGGAGTAAACCGTTGACAGTCTGGCGCTTGATGCGATTTGTCGTCTAGTATCGCGCATCGTGGCACGTTTGTAGTCGCTACTATTGAACTAGAGCAAGTCTCAGACCCTGACAGGCGCTACGAGGCTTATGTTCAGCGGTCGCGCTGACAAGTGGCTTGAACTTTGGCGGTCGTGGAACGCTGATCTTGGCTGTTTGCTGAGTTGCTGTCGGAGGTCAAAATGCCCGACGTGAGATCGACAGCATCGACGCAAGGATGATCCACAACTCGTTTCCAGAAGCAGCACAGCAGTCGCAGAGTCTGCTCGGACCTCAGCGTGGAGAGCCGACTTGATTTTGTCGTGTCGTGTGAGTGTGGTGAGACTGTGCATGGGCGAGGTCAAGACTGAGGGTTGTCGCCGTCTAGGCGTGAAATTCCATGAAAGTTTCAATGGTTTCCAAGACGTCAGGGTCCGCTGTTCATGCTTCCTTAATTAGACTGACGTTTCAAACAGCAAGTACATGGCGTGATGCAGACCCTAACCCTTCATGCAAAGCAATATAATCAGACCCAGGAAATCGAGTAGCTGGTTCCCCAGAGCTTGGTACTGTGCCACCTGCGCAAACACCAGCCAGATGCAGGCCAGATGCGGCGCCGGCAACGCCTTGGTGTTCCGGTCAGCGCTACCCCACTACCCACTCTCCGATGCAATGCAGGCAATCGCTGAATCTAGCATGCATGCGCGACTGGACGGAATTATGGAAGCGATGCAGATCCGTGTCAAATCAAGCTTTCGCGTCGTTGCAGTGGCGTTGTGGAGAATAGCCATATCTGTAACATTTTGCATTAGTCTGTCGAAATTCACCGGTTCTCAACTTGTTGAACGAGTGGAGAAGACGTGGAGTGAACTGTTCGAAAGGAGATTGCCATTTTGCGTGTGCGGTGTCTTTGAAAAACATGGAAAGTCACGCTGCATGTGTGAATTGTCAAGTTGCTCTATGCTTCTTTTTCTAGTGTTCATTGGTCGAGATCATCGTGAAATATGCACGTACAGTCATCCAAGGATGATTGACACCATCGCACTGCCTGTCAGGCTTATATATCAGCCCACGAAGACGATTGAAGATGAACTCAGATGTTCGAAGCTTAACCCTCAGTCTTATGCCAAGTGGCCTGTGCAAAGTATCCGTGTCATATAGACCAGGTCAGTGTCCATTCCAGCTATCTTCTTACTACACACTGTCCCCTCCGTGAGCCATCTTCTGTCTTTTTGGGGGTGCTCCGCCTCCATTTGCGACACGGAAAATCTGCCAATCGCTCGTGTCTACTTCGATGATGCTTGTTTCGACATTCGTCTCTCTGGCGTCTCTAATCGCATGAGCTCTCTCCATATCTTCGATCTTGGAACCCATCTCTCTCTCCATGGTCTCGACGGTCTTCTTCAACAACTCGTTTCCAGATGTACCAAGAAAGTTGGGTCATCGGAGCGAAGAGAGGAGCCGAGCCCACATGACGGTCGTAGATGGTAAAGTCGATAAGCACTCCACGATGGAGCGATAGGCGGATCAGCGGGTCTCACTTGGTGACGTCCACGGAATTGGCCTGAAGTTGTCGTAAAATAGACGAATATCGGCCTTTGACTGAATAACACCGTGAATCCCTCAGTTGATATCCTCAATCACGTCTTGACAAACAACATGGAGCAGGTGATACAGCGTGCGCTGGCAATCATAGATGAATTGTTCATCCACTGGGTACCGTGATATTGAGCCGTTCGCGCAGGTTGACCGACAAGCCCACGACATGATGGGGACCAACGGAGCTGCTGTTCTCAGGGGCTAGCGTATCTGCTGGGGTGTCATAAATGGCGATGATTTCTTCCAACATACCGGCCATGTCACGATTCTCCCGTCGTACGTCTAAGCGTTGGATCGGGTGGTTTTCTTCAGACAACGAGCTCAGCCGTAGATGTTCAAGCTTTTTGCACTCTTTTAGAGCGTGTAATATCGACGACCAAGTACCGGTAACGAGACGAAGATCAGAGAAGAGGGCTCGTCGTAGCGTCGCTGAATGACTGCTGATCATGGAAGCTAGATCGTCTGCGTGCAATGCGCAGAACATGAGTTGGAACACTTGGAGATTGGGACATGTGCAGGAAGAGGCTAAGCTTCGGAATGCAGATGCGACATAAGCACTGCGATCTAGACTCAAAGTCAGATTTCTCAGCTTTGGTGCTGTGGCAACAATGCTTGCAATCCATTTCTGCCAGCCAGGTACCTGAGAAACGTCGTCGTAGATGGTCAAGACAGAGATTGTGAGAGTGTGGAGATGCGAAAAGCGATGACACAACGCATGAAGAGATTGTGCGGGTACATTGAGCACCGAAAACGGTAGGGTGGCTTCTTTGTGTAGAGCGGTTCCGCGTCTGCATTTAGCCATGCGAAATTCGAGCAGACGAACATCGGTCTGGACGATAGCATCGACGACAACTTGGAAGCACCTGCTACGAAACAAGCGGTCGTCTTCTGAGATGAGGCGGCGGCATGCAGCCGGCTGGTCATTTCTCGGATAAAAGTGAACAGCCTCCAAGTTGGTGAAGCCTCGCAACGCTTTAACAAGGCTATCGTAGAGCCGTGTCGGATATCTGCTTTCCAGAACATATTTCAACGTAGTTGCCTCGTCATGGACATGTCTGTCTTGGATGCCAGGCACCCTGGGAAATCGTTTGGGTGGAGGGAATCTGCCCACGCGGCTGATAGCAGCGAGCGTGTGATAGTCACTGGAGGTCAGAAGCTGGATCTGCAGGACTTTGACAGCACCCCGAAGATTTTCACACCGTGACACATTGACGAGACGACCAAGGGAGGGCGAGCCGAGAGTAGTCTTTAGTCGGGAGAAGGCGCATTCTACAAAGAGTGGATGAATCAGGAAACGCAGCCTCTGGGAAGTCAGACGGAGGTTCTTGCAGGACAGTAGTTCCAGACTGGCAGCAACGAGCTCGAACAGCTCCACAGGGAGACGTTCTATCTGTGAAGTCATAACGACATGGTGATGGAGAGAGATGGACAGATGTGATGTGATGTGAGGATAGCGCGGTGCATGGGTGATGGGTGGCACATGCAATGAGCGCACGGGCCAGGAACCACTCCTAAGAATCACGACAGCGCTGGCCCCCCGCAGCGGCCCACGACCTCAGCTACAACGACGGAAGCGACGCTTCCTGCAAGTAAATAGCCTTCTCGTCTGTCTTTCTTCCCTCATCACCTCACTCTCTCGTACTTTGCATTCTCCATCGCGGTTGCATTCGCGTGCGTGTGCTGAAGACGGGCCACGACTCAGCGGAGCCTGACAAAGACTGTCCGCCATGGATTCGATGCGCAGCCTCAACAAGTCACTGCCCAAGACAAGACGGCAGCCCGATGTGCACCAGTCGTTCCGGACGGCGGCGTTAAACGTCACCAACTTGTATAAGTCGGCGCTTGCCGACCTCGACAGGGCCCGCACCGACGGCTACCAAGAAGCTCTTGACGACCTGCTCGCGTTTCTGGACAAGGAGAACATGGGCCTGGGCGACGGAGAGGGCTGGCGGATACGGCAGTGGGCGACGGAGCGGCTGGATGGAAGCCTGCCCAAGCAGTCGAGCAGCGACAGCGACGAAGAGTACCTCGACAGCAACCGTGCCAGGAGCTCCTCGCCCATTATGGACCGCAACCCCGGCATGGAAGACTCAGGCACGCTGGATCCGCCAACGGCTACGGAGCAACGATGCGACTCGGCGCCTCCCCTTCAGATGGAAGCCTCGACCACAGAGGCTGACATGTCGCCGCTACACCACGTCTTCGAATTCTCTGCCGCCCAAGCCTTCCCGTCCGAACCACCAAACGAAACCGCCTCGGCCGACATGTCCGCTGCCGCTCGCCGTGCCTTCTCTGCGCCCCGCCGTCCCTCGAACCGCTCGTCCACCCGGAACCTCCAACGATCCGCCGCTCAGAACCTCTTCCAACTAGGCACAGGCGCAGGCCAAAAGAGACGATTGATGAACGACTTCTTCAACGTCGATGGCTCCAACGACCGACGAGACGGCTCGTCAGGCGGCGGACCCAAGCGCGGACGCATGTCATAGCATACAAATCTCCAAGCCTGAGAGGCCACTCGTCCGACTCCAGGCAATGACACGAACGACGCTTCGACGAATCACGACTACCTGCATCATACCCAGACGGCGCATAGGGCTAGTGGATCATTTTTCATACGCATTGGGGGAGGCTTAATAGACGCATCCTGTGGTGTTCATTGCTTTTGGATCTATATACCTTTCTTTTCCTTCTCTATGGGGCGGGACATCATTTAGTGGTGTGCAAGTAGATAGCAAGAGAGAGCTTTTTTTTTGTGAAGGAGACGGTATCAATAATATTGTTCTAGGTCCTCAGTTCTCTTTCTGTTCTGTGGAATTCCAACACGTTACATGCCGTGCCTCATCTAGTTCATGCTGCAGCCATCCTGTCATGAGAACCACCGATAGACTCCCAGGCCCACCATGACAGCGCTTGTCCCCGTTATAGCGATACCTCTGCTCCTCATGCCGAACATGCTTTTGCTGGCTCGTATCGCCGCTTCATTGGCCTTGATTTGCGAATGACCCGAGACATAGGTAAAGGCGCCGAGGCCAAGGAACGTTGCGCTTCCTGTGTGTGTATTAGTACTGGGTCAGGTAGCTCATATCGACGAGGGAGTGCAGTACCAACTATGCGGCAGGGCGTGCAATCCTCGAATTGCGCTCTGTCATTCTTGAGGGCTTCTTGAAAGGTCGGAGGAGATGGCGGTTGCAGTGCCATTGCCGTCACTGCCGAGACGTGTCCTAGAGATCTAACCAAGACCCTGACTGTATCGTATAAAGGTCTTGCGACGACAAGTTTGGACGACATGGCTCTAGCCGCCGCCGCCATGCAGGGATCGTCTAGCCCCGGAAGCTCCCCGCCAAAACTGCCCCACGACGCGAACCTCACGTCCTCGCACGCGCATGGCTCGCAGCTGACACTCTCACACCATGAGCGCAATAGAAGCTCTCTACATCTTTGATGAGCACAAGTAGGATCACGCTGCTGCAGTCATCACGTGTTTCATCGCTAATGTCGCTAGCACCCCGCTCCTCGAACACACGTACCTCAATCGCCCACCGCCATCTTCTGTCCTACTGCCTCTCTACCTCGCACATCCCGCCCCAAGACCCCCGCTAATATACCTGCCCAACACCAACCCACCGACGCTGCTATACAGCATAATACAAGACCAGCTTCTGTTCCTGTGCCCGGCATCAGCTGATACCGACCCTCTCGCCGTTCTCACCCTCCTCCACCGCCTCACCGACGTACTTGAGGACTTCCTGGGTTCGCCACTGCTAGCGAGCAAGATCGAAGGAAACTATGATGTCGTCGCACAACTACTTAGTGAGATGGTCGATGGCGGCATCATCGCCAACACCGAGCCCAACGCACTGAGAGACGTCGTTGAAGCTCCGAATCTACTCAAGAGCCTTCTAGGAGGGGTTGGATTACCATCTTCAACACCAAGCTCGCTCACACCATCTTCTGCTGGAGCATTTGGTCTAGGGGGTGGAAGACCGAGTCCGCGATTGGGTCCCTCGCCAGCCTCAAGTCAGACAGGCTCACCAGTACCGTGGAGAAGAGCCAATGTCAGGCACACGAGTAATGAGATGTATGTAGACATTGTGGAAACACTCGAAGTCACCCTGTCGCCATCTGGCCGTCCTTTGGCTGCAGTGGCAAATGGTACCATCGCTTTCACTGCCAAGGTCTCGGGAATTCCAGATCTCATACTACACTTGGGATGCGCAGGTGGCATACAAAACGCTGTCTCGCTTCCCGTCTTCCACCCTTGCGTCAGGCTCAATCAATGGAAAGCGAGACCGGGTGAACTGTCATTCGTCCCGCCAGATGGTCGCTTCGTGCTCGCTGGATACGAAGTCGATCTACTAGGTTCCGCAGCATTGGATGCCTTTTCTACCGAGAAGAGCGCCAAGAGTGCGAATCCAAAACTCAACATACCTGCTACGGTATCCGTTAACCCCTCCCTTGGGCCAAGCGGCACAGACTTCGAGGTCAAACTCCAACTCAACCCACGCTTCAGCGGAAACAAACCCTCTCAGCCCAGCGCTGCAAAGGCTAGCCTGAGCCGCACATCCTCCACAGGAACGACGTCTGCTCCTGCTATCGAAGAAATGACCATTCACATTCCTCTCCCAGCGTCTGTCAGAAACGTCGCCGATCTTCGTCTCGCACGCGGAACAGGAGATGCAGGCTACGCCCCTGGCGACAGGGCAATAGAATGGCGTATAAGTAGTCGTGAGATAAGCAACCTCATGTCTCAAGACCGGGGTGGAGGAATTGGAGCCACAGCCACGCTACGTGGGACTGTTATTGGCCAGGATGACCCATCTGCGGAGGATGCTTTGGATGCCGGTGGACCGGTTTCGTTTGCAACATCAACATACGATTATGATGACGACCAGAATACGCAGATATCTTTGCCTGCGGCCTCGTCTTCTAACACGCCGAGGCCGGATAGCGACGCCAAGATCAAGCAGGCAAACAAAGTCCTCATGCCAAGCTGTGCGACCATCAGCTTTTCCGTCAAAGGTTGGTTGCCGAGTGGAATACGCGTGGAGAGCTTGAACGTGGACCAAAAGAAGAGTAAAGGCCTGGGTAGTGGTGTAACTCCGTACAAGGGTGTCAAGTATCTATGTGTCAGCCGAAAAGGTGTAGAATGTAGATGCTAGATGCATCCGTCTGGTTGCGAAAGGTTGGCAAAAAAAAAGCAGACTCCCAACCAAACGCTTCCACAGACTCTTCCTGATGATTCAGTTGTACATGTGAGGTGTTTGTTGATTTCATCGATGGCATTATAAACTATGCTACCTGACACTCGTCGATTGCGTTGAAGATGTCTCCAGACCTCAAATGTCCAGAGACGTATACCACTCTATCAATGAAACAAGTTGTCGATCTATATATCCATTTTTGCTGTAGATGCAAAGACCTACAACCTGGACAAAGCTCCCGCTCGAACGCATTTGGACTGTACCAGCGTCGTGAAAGCCATTAGACAGTCTTCTCTTTTCTAGCATACTCTAGCCATCCCAAGGAAGTATGGTGTCATACCACAGTGTTAGTCTACTGGAGGATGGTGAATAGCGCCTCCTCAGCCGCTGGAGCAACCGGCTTGTTGCCAGGCGCAGGCTGTACAACATTCGGCAAAGACTTTTCAGCGTCACCACTTTTACGGCCCTTTCCGCTGCTGCGGTCGTTACTACCACCGCGCGCACTGCCTTCGGGAGACATCCAGGTCTTGCGCGGACGACCAGTCAAACGCTTTTCAATCTTATCCACCTTGTCTTTTAGAAGCGCGTACTTGGCTAACAGCTTCTCCAATTCTGCCGCGCCCTTGTCATTTCCAACCTTCTTTCGATTAACCAAGTTGTTGGCTAGACAGTCAAAAATCGGGTCATTATCCGGGTAAGCCAATTGGCAGACAAGATCCATGAATTCGGGCGATATATCCTCAGCGCGGATACGGTCACAGAACTGCTTAGTGAACTGGGCAACGTATATGTTGTTGAGTCCTAGAACACGGGCAGCGTGACAGATCTTGAGGTTCTTCTTGTCATGGACATGCTCAGTCTGGAACTTCAAAGAGTAGATCCTGCTTTGGTAGGTCATCTCGTCCATCCACTTGAGGTGCGCCGTCGCAGAGTCTACGTCCATCGAGTCGGCGGGAAGGATCCAGGAGGTGGCTTCAGGTCGTCTGGTGAAGTACTCAAGAGCCTTGAACGAGCACTGCATCAAGACGTACTTGGTGACAGTAGCCAGCTTGACATCACCGAGCTTAACAACAACTTCAGGACCGTTGCCAAAGAGCATGCGCTTGCTATGCGGCATGTGACGGATGTCAGCCGAGTAGTCAAACTCGGGCATTGCGCCGGTCTTGTCGCGTGCCTGCTTGGAAGATTGGCCCCAGGGTGTCGTGTGACCATTCTTCTCGATCATAGTTGATGATGGACGTACAATCTTCGTGGTAGGTGGTGCGGTGGACTTCTTCCCATACTTAGACATATCTATAGGAAAGGTCAAGGTCTTGGGCTTCGGGGCTGGCGGAACGATTTTCAGCATGTTCTTCGTTACGAATGTCGGGAATTCAGACTCGCCGAACGAAGGGCCACAACTCTTCTTCGTTGGAACAGTGTCAACGGACTCTCCAGTAGTGGTCGCTTCAGTCTCCTGCTCCTTGATCTTTCTAGTCTCCTCATCCCTGGGGGGATCAACGATCTCGAAGCTATCCGAAGCCTCAGAGAAGGTCTCATCGACCTCGTTTTCCGCCTCAGTAATGCCGTCAGTCCCATCTATCTTGGTGCTTTCTAATTCTTTGTCCTCAAGTTCGTCTTCGGTGATCAACTCAGCATCGTTTGTTGGCACAGGGACAAGCGCAGCTGACTCCTGCTCAAGGCTGCGAACGGTCACAGCCTTCCCCTTCAGCTCAACTTCCAGCTTCTTGATCTGGCTGTCCTTCTCGTGAGCCTCGCGCAGCAGCTTTTGGTTTTGAAGGAGTCGATCGCTGTTCTCTTTCTTTAGTAATCTGATCTTGCTGTCTTTCTCTTGGACCTCCGCCTCTAGGTCACTAATATGATGGTCCTTATCTTGAACCGCACCTTCCAACTCTGCAACTCGAAGAGTCTTCGTGATTACCACCGCCTCTAGTTCTTTCACGCGCTCCTGTTTCAGAGCGACGGTGGTCTCGAGTGTGGCGACCTTCGGGTCCTGGCTCATAAACTCCGCGATGAAGCTGTTGTCGTCGTCATCATCAGCCCAGTCGGCCTTTCTGCTATCGGTGGCTACAGCGGGTTTTGCAGAGAAGTCACTTGTGATGTGCCCATTGGAGATGCCCTTGAGCACGAGACCCTTCTTCTGCTGAGGGCCTGGTTTGGGCTTCGGTGGCGCCTCTGCAATCTTAGGATTCGGAGACTCGGCAGACTTGATCTTGTTATTGCCAGCAGCCCAGAAGGAAGGAGCCGTCGCCATCTTTCGCGTTCGCTCGGGGGTGGAAGGAGAGGGGTCGTTGAACTGTAGTTCACAAGTGTTGTCGGAGAGGTGAGAGAGCAAAGATGGCTTTCTAAAAGTTAGATTGCCAAAATAAGGCACAAGTGGCGAGAGTCGCGGGGCTGCTCTGGCGTTGACGAAGTGTGAGTCGTGACAGAAGAGTTGAGAAGCGAGTGTCTGTGGAGCGTGAGAAGGAGAGGAGAGACTGTTTATGTATTGGGAAGCGTGCGACTAGCAAAATTGGAGTGCGTGTGAATGTAGAAGTGTGCGACTCCGAGCTTTTCGTGGCGTCGAGGCGAGTGAAGGGGAGGAAAGTGCGCCACACGAACAAGATCCCTTAGAGAGTAGGGGTGATCAAACCTTCAGAAGTCCACCTGAGTTTCACTACACAAGCAGATGCACATTGCACCACACTCACCAATCGCTACCTTTCATAGGCAAAGTGCGGTAACGATGTGGGTGCCTACACTGTCATCTTAGATGACAGCTTTCTAATAGGACGACAAAATGGAGAGACGCAGCTGCCATGTGGCTACCCAGTCAGGGTTACGACACCGCTCAGTTCCAAAGGATCTCTGAATCCGATCAGACTTCTAGCTTCTACTGAAGGACAGAGTACTACTGTACACATGCCACTTGCGGTGTGAACTACTGGCTGCAGTCCAAGGCTATCTTTCCAGTATGGTGATATCCTTCCAAGGTTGTCTCAAAGGACCCTGATATGCCTGTCTACCATCTCGTTCCAGAAGGTTTATTGTCCTTGGGCCCACGGATACGTCTTTGGAGTCTGCATATGTGATGGCAATGTTCTGATGCGCTTGCCGTACCTAGGGGATAACGTAGCATTCATCAACGGACGCGTCCTCGCTCTAGTCATACGCCAGCAGGCCTTTGTTACGACACACTAACAGAGATGGGAGCATTAGTCGCCTTTCTTTCCTCTCGAAAACATGCATAAGATGCAATGAGTATTAGATTCGAAAGCTGGTTGGGGAAAGGGCGACGATTTCAGCCCTGCGATCCCCGCATCCGAAGTCCGAACTATGTTAGCCAATAGGAGTTGAAGGAGGTCTACATACACCTACTGTACGTATCTCCTGCATTGATTCGACTGCGTCTATAAGACCGCATCATGTCTCTTTTCGCATCTAAAGCTCTGCAGTGGTACTACTTTAAGCAAAACTATCTTGGTTATCAACTCGATCGCCTACCATGACGACCCAAGTCCGCAACCTCTTCCACCACCTACCTCCACCAGCGGAATGTCTTGCGCTTTTCATCGCAACCCTCGAAATTGTGCCGTTTGGTATAATAGGCCTACGTGATCCTTCCTTCTTCGCAGATGGCTACGGTCTGCCCATTTCACGCGAGTCCGACACGTCACCTGCATCCGCAAAACGTTCCGGCAACAATCAAAGCACGTACGAAGAAGATCAGAAGACAAAAAAAGCTCTAGTCGCGGCTATAGCAGCACGCAATGTTCAAAATGGCGTTCTTCTGGCAGTTTTCGGGCTGGTGCTGCGAGACAGGAGGAGTTTAGGTGTCGCAGTAATGGCAGGATTAGTTGCAACTGTCGCGGATTCGGTAATTGTCAGCGCGTATGGAGCGAAAGACAAGATTGCAGGTCATTACGTTGGTGTTTTCAACAGCTTGGCGATTGGAGGGAGCTTGCTATACTGGGGCAGAAATGATCCGCTGTGGTAGATGTGTCGATTGGATGCGTACAAGGAATAGGAGGAATGGACTGCACATGACGAAAAGACAGCAGGAGCAGGGGCGAGTCATCGATGAGCAGCTTGGTACAGACATGAATCGCGAACCTTTCCTGTGTCGGACTAGCGTTCACGACATTCAGCCCCCTCTTAGGCAACATCCTCTATCCCTTTCTCAGCTCCTTTTTGCTCCCCTCCGTTCATAACATCCGATACTCACTATGACATGTAAACATGCCATTCTACATTTGGAGCCTTCACCCTTCGCAGAATTAGCAGGATATGAACAACCAGATGCCGCGGCACGTGCAGCAGCAGAAACGACATCTGGGCGAGCACCGAAGAAGGGCAAGGATTACTCGATAGGAACCTTTCCCGGTCCTCTTGTTCTACCGCATGATGATCTAAACTACGATCCGGATAGTGAACCTCAAACTACCAAAGAGTGGCTAAACGCGGAAACCAGGAATAGACTATTATCGACAACTGGAAGGGATACACTATATGTAGCACAAGTACCCAAGATCAGTAAGAAGGTGGAATTCATGAGAGACTGGGTAATACCAACTGGTCATGGAGCATCAGAGGATCGACAAGAAGCAGAGCCACCTCCATCTGCAGACCTCTTTGTTGATTACCTTGCCGCCTTCTACCACAATATGCCCGTTCGCCTCCTACCCACGCCCTTGACCTGGACACAATGGGGTTCTAGTTCCAAACCCTTCAGCCGTTACCGAAGTGCCGCTCTGCCAAAGTACGTTGGTCTTCTCGATAGCGAAGATCGATGTACGAGGATCCGCGTCCGCCCCCCGCCAGACTCTGCTTTCCCCGCTCAACTCAACCTAGACGATATTCTTGATATGACTATTTCGATTCTCCCTGTTGACGCCTATGCTCTGGTTATCTTGGTCGATCATGACATCTACGAGTCTGAAGATGATGACTTTTGTTGTGGCAGAGCATATGGAGGAAGTAGAGTGGCTGTTGTTCAGACTGCACGGTATAGCCCGGTGCTGGACAAACGGCAAGGGGAGCAGATTGACAGAAGTCATATGTGGCCGTGGAGTCATTGCAAAACATTTGTAGATGACTTGTGTGCTACGGAAGACGTAGAAGCAAAGCCAGCAACAAAGAAACAAAAAGACCTAAGTAAGAACAGTGCAATGGCAGCTGCGGTCGCCTTAGCCTCAGCATACAAGCCTGTCTCTCCGGTGCAAGAAGTCCAGGCGCTATGGTTCTCACGGCTTGCGCGAACGGTGTCGCATGAATTAGGTCATTGTTTCGGCATCGCGCATTGTGTGTATTATGCGTGTAATATGCAGGGGACGGGTAGTATGAGGGAAGACGTAAGACAGCCCCCGTTCCTGTGTCCTGTCTGTGAGGCGAAGATTGCGCATGCTATCATCGGGGAGCTGAGTGGTGGCCATGAAGAGGAGAAAAGAATTTGGGTCAAGCAGAGGTGCCAGACATTGGGCCGATTTTGCAAAGACTTGGAGCACAGAGGGCGAGAAAGTGCAATGTGGCGAGGTTTAGATGCTTGGTTGGAAGAGAGGTTAAAGGTGTTGTGATCTCTGACAAGTCCAAATTGCCGCAAACTGTTTTAGAGTATAGTCGAAAGCTTCGAATCGTGGATAAACTCCCCGCTATCCCGCAAACGCGCTTCTTTGCATTTCACGTCCCACACTCTCAACTGTACGAGACATTGGTTGCATGTTTCAATACTGACGATCGTCATGACCAAGGTCTTGTACACCGTCTGTATCCTTGATTATCCTTTAACAAGACATGTATAGCGTGCCACTAGACGCAAAACTCTTCGTATGCATCCAATTCGACGACATCCGGGTGTCTCGATAAAGCATGCCGTTCGCTTAAGAAAGTTAGTTCTATTAGATGTTCCTCAAGGAAATGGTCTAATATGACCAAATCGACTGCCTGCGTTAGCACTGCGACTTTCGAACAACTTAGGGATAGATTTGAGTGAATAGAAACAGGTATGAAGATGTTTGGTCTTGCATGGGGGAGGCGTGTGTTTTGGTTCTGTGATGTGTGTTGACGTGCTCGGGAAGTGTACCCCTCATTGCCCCGCTATCTCCCGTCACCATGCATCTGCAGTGAGCAATTTACCCACCTTGCTTCTCAACAGATGGGAGAGGAGCAGAACTATAAGTATCCGGTAGAAATGGTGAATTTCAGTCGCCACCTTTGTTGCTCTTTTGTCTCCAAAACCGAACTACAACAACTCTCCCTGACACGAAACCAACTTGGTACGATGCTATCATCGAACCAGCACAGCAAGGCCACGCTGGTCTTGCTCTTCGCAAATCAGAATTTCATCTCGATCAAGTAAAAGGTGCCCGACATGGCATCATCAGGTACCCATCTCAACCATCAGAAGCAAAGCATGGCGGGTGTTCAAGCCTTCGGTGATCCAGACTCCTCACAAGGAGACTTGGTTATTGATTGCTTGTTCTGAGATCATACCGTTTAAACTTGATCTGGATAATTCCAGCGCGAAGGACTACTGCTGCTTCCTGATGACCCTTTCCCCTCTATGTTGGCGTACTGACTAGCTCAGCATTTGTACCAAAGTCAAGATGTCGACTGATAAGATTACCTTCTTGACCAACTGGTGCGCTTTGCATCTGAGTCAAGTGAGGTGCATGCTGACAGTTATTAGGCACGCTACGCCATACCACGCTCCTCTCTATCTTGCCCAGAGCAAGGGATATTTCAAAGATGAAGGCGTCAAGGTCGCTCTTCTTGAGCCCAACGACCCAAGCGTACGGCCAATGTTGCTCGTTTCGAAAACATGAACTTACCATATTAGGATGTCACGGAAATCATCGGATCTGGAAAGGTCGACCTTGGCTTCAAGGCCATGATCCATACTCTCGCCGCCGCAGCTCGTGGCTTCCCCGTTCAGTCAATCGGTTCCCTGCTCAACGAACCCTTCACCGGTGTTGTGTACTTGACCTCTTCTGGTATAACCCCCGACTTCACAACCCTCAAGGGTAAGAAGATCGGCTACGTTGGAGAATTTGGCAAAATCCAACTCGATGAACTCACCGCGCACTACGGTATGTCACCTGATGACTACCAAGCCATTCGTGTGGGCATGAACGTCACACGGTCTATCATCACTGGCGAAATCGATGCTGGCATAGGCCTCGAGAATGTCCAGATGGTTGAGCTTGAGGAGTGGCTTGCTAGCCAGAACCGCTCGCGCGACGAAGTGAAGATGCTCCGCATCGATGAGCTTGCACAACTCGGCTGCTGCTGCTTCTGCAGCATTCTCTATATCGGAAACAACGACTTTATCAAACAGAACCCAGAGAAAGTACGTGCTTTCCTGCGTGCGTGCAAGCGCGCAACTGACTTCGTTCTTGCGTCTCCCGACCAAGCCTGGGAGGAATTCTGCAGCTTCAAGTCCGCTATGAATACGCCGACCAACCATAAGATCTTTGAACGCAGCTTCGCGTACTTTAGCCCCGATCTTCAGAATGTCCAGCGTGACTGGGACAAGGTCACCCGCTACGGCAAGAGACTTGGTGTGTTGGACAACACCTTCAAGCCCAACTACACGAACGAGTACTTAGCTTGGGGTCTTGAGGATGAAACTGATGACCCTACTGGCGATCAGAAGAGGATGGTGGAGCTGCAGGAGGGTGTTAAACAGCATGGTGGGTTCAAACGTCTCGAGACCATGTCTGGTAAGACTGTCATTGGTGCTGCTGCCTCTGCTGTGGCTTGATCTGATAGGTGAAGGTGGAGATGCACTCATTTTCTCCAACTAGTCTATCGGAAAGCCTTCGACCTGAATGGATGATAGCGACATGTTGACATACATGAATGAATCAAACCGTCACTCGCTCAAGCTTGCTGTTCATTACACTCTTGTCCATAGTCTAGATGGTATCCATCAGTGTACGGTGATGATATTTCAGCTCCGCGCACGATATCCACGTATTCTACCTCACTCACATCCACGCTCAAATTGTACCTGCACCTAGGCTGTTCTTGCGAGTATTGTGACACTCATTATATTATATTGCATACACACGGTGCGCAGCACCAAACTAAGAGGAAAGAGGACATCGAAAGCCAACCATATCGGCTTTGATCCGTAAGAAAGCAATCCTCAACGCCAAAGTATGCAGAGAACCCTAGAGGCAGTTGAAACCCGCTCCATGATAAACACCGATCAAGTCCTGTTTGGATCTTGATATGCGACCGTACTCCCATCCCCTGCCATTACTCTTCCATTTTGTCATTGTCTTTGTTTGCTTCCTTCGTAGGCTCCTTCAAGAATTGCGCGCGAAAGTCCGCGTTACTCTTCGGCTCGCCATTAGTCGTTGTGGCACCCTTGGGGATGGTTGGCCGACCAAGACCAGGTTTTCCACGCCCTCGTCCACCACGAGCAGCTGTAGGTCGATTGACACGGTTCGGCTGTACAAAGCTGTTGCTCGCCTTCCACTCGCCCTTCTGCTTGTTGAGGTCTTGAATTGTTCCGATACGAAGCTTCCTTCCCTCAAAGTCCCTACCCTCAAGTGCGAATTGAGCCTTACCGGCGCCCTCCACAGTCGTGAATTCGATGATCGCACCGCCATGGTGAGGTTCGAGCTTGATCTTCTTGAAGCCGTACTGCTCGACAAGCGGCTTGATGCGTACGTCGGGGACGGTATCGGGTAAGTTGAGGATCGCGATAGACCGGTCCATGAAAGAAGCAGGCTTGACAGTAGCTTCAGCAGCAGCGTTGCTCTGTCCGGGAGTCACTTCACGAGCGGCTGAGTTTTCCGGATTCTCTAAAGTCGACTGCACCTTTGGCTTCGTAGCAGGCCGATCACTTGCGATCTCAACCATGATCTTGAGGCCCCAGAACTCCTTCTCATGCATCTCCGCCACTGCAGCATCAGCGCTATCCTTAGTCTCGTAAACGACGTAACAGAAACCACGATTGTTGCCGGTAGACCTGATGGTTGGGCACTTGGTCCTCTCGATCTTGCCAAATTTGGAAAAAACATCCCTGATTTCCCTCTCTTTGACCTTGAAGTTGAGATGCCATATATAGACCTCACGACCCTCGGCAGTAGCGCCATCACGTTTCTTCTTAGCGTTGGGGTCAGATATTTTCGAGATCAGCTTCAAGCCCTCGACATCAGTACCATCCAGTTGTGTTGCGGCAACTGCCTGTTCAGCTGAAGCGAACTGTACGTAGCAAAACCGGCGGTGGGCATCAAACTTGAGCGATGGGAAGCGAATGCCGATGATCTCTCCAAACGGGCTGTAGAGCTTCCGTAGCCAGGCTTCGTCGGCATGCGCCGGGTAGTTCGTAACGTACAGCGTCGTGCTCTGGCCTCGCTCGATCGATATGTTGTGGCCTTCGAATCCTTTCGCCTCCTTACTCAGAGCGTAGTCAGCTTCTTCTGGAGATTCAAATTCCACGATAGCCGTGAGACTGTCCTTCTCCTCTTTCATAACTAAATTGCGGACCGTGCCCGCATCAGTAAAGAATTGGCGTATCCGAGTCTGTGTGGTATCGAGTGGTAACTTCTTAACGATGACCGACGTGTGTTCGCGGTCCCGTTTCGGGCCAGTAGAACGAGCTTCCGAGGGTGCTTCGCTCGCGCCTCTTGCCTGGCCGTTGACGGGATGGGAAGCTTCTTCAATTCCCGCAGTCTTGCTCTTCTTCAATATCGCATCTTCATCGCCGTCCTCCCGTTTCCGTTTTGCTGAGCTTTCCATGACTTGGCTGTCTGGTGTATCTTGTGGTGGAGCTGCAGCAGCCACGAGTGCTCGTTCCTTCTCTCTCCGAACAGATACGATGCGCTCAGCTCGTCGACGCTCGATTGTCGCGCTACGTACTTTTAACGCTGACTCATGCTGTTCGCAATGACTGATGTACATGTCGATAAGCAGCTCCGGGTGATCGATCGTTTGCAAGCGCTTCATGCCACGTTCCAAGATTGAGGTAGCCTGAGTCGGTGGCAATAGTGGCTGGCCTGCATTCTGCTTGTTCCTTGTTGCATGTGGCGCCCACAGAAGCATCTCAAAGATGTAGCAGCGATACCAAAAGTCGTATGAGTCTTCCTGGTACTGTGTGATGGACTCCTGAATCTGACGGGCTTGATCTATTTCACCGCGTTGGAGCCAAAACTTCATGTGAGCACGTTCAAGACGGTACTTTGGGTCCGTCCACTCCCTGCCATGTTTCTTCATGCCAACCTCTCGGACAAACTCTAGGGCAGACCGGATTCCGACCTCGGCTACATCAACATCGTCTTCTGTTGCTCTGGGGTCGTCAAAAGCTCTTCGCCGTAAGTAACCACACCAAGCGAGTTGTACCTTGATGAGTTCATCCAAGTCGGTGTGTTCCAAGAGACCAGAGCCAGTAGCTGTATGTTTAACAAGCTCAAGATCCTCGAATGGTTTATTTTCCGATTCGAGCGTTAGCAATCGGTGGGACCAGAGTGATCCAGACCAGGGACAATGGCGGGTCGCGCGCTCCAGGACGTTGAGCAGATCTACCGATCGGTTGTCTTGCCAGATAAGAAACTCGACGTGATCTTCCCATATTGAAGGATCGACTGGGAAGCGAAGCGTGGCTCGCTCATAGAGTGCATTGACAAGATGGAAGCTGTAGACGCCCATAGTTCTCTTCTCCCATTTGAGATAGCGTGTCATGGCGGTGTATTCGGCGGCTTGATCGCCCGCTTGGATGGCCTGTAGAAGTTTAAACTCGTATTCTTCGCGGTTGGCATATTGCTGTTTGATGTGTGTGTTGTTTTTCACCACTTCATCCATCACCTGCTCGTAGTGACTCGTGTTGTAGCGAGAGTTGAACGACGAGTATCTACTGAGCGTATTGGCCCATGTTGCGTGTGGTTGACCTAGGCGATCGTTATAAATGGCGGCTACTCGTTTCGCCTTCTCTTGGCTGAAGCCTTCGCGCTCAAGATCCTCTTCCAGGACTTGTAGGTAGCGGTCCCACACAAGATTACTTTCCTGAAGGTTATACTTGACTCTCTCTGCACCTTCTTGTAGCGCGTGCAGTAGTAACTGAGGCTTGAAGAGCTCGCGACCAATCAGCCTTTCCTCTTCAGGCCACTCCTCTGGCGGTATTTGATCCCAAGAGCAAGCGACTAGGTAGCTCACATACTCGCCGTATGCTGCCCAAAGCTTTGCACTGTAAGGCTCCTCTTGTGTGGCTTGCTTGTGCAATTCTAGCACGCCCATACGCTGCTCCACGTCCTTGGCCAGAGTTTTCTCGTCGTTCAATCGGTAATGCCACAACAGCTCACCGAGCGGATACTTGTCAGACATGGTTTTGTAGGCATCGCGCAGAGTTTGCACCAGCTCGTATGCGTTTGGGTCCGCGTCGAACGAGGCAAGGTGATTTTGGAGGCCCTGGTGCAGCGTAGTGACAAGCGAGACATGGCTGTAATAATCGAAGGGATTTTCTAACAGCGTCTTGTCCAGTTGGTTGAGCCAGTCGATGTGCTGTTGGTCCAAAGAGCGAGTGATGAAGTTGCGCGGTCGCGGCGAAGCCTCGGACATGATGCTGGCTACAGACTCACCGGAAAGATTCTGTCCAAGATGTTGCAGGCTGGGACATGGTCAGTGTTTAGTAGTGGAGTTTGTGTAACAAAGCTAGGCTGGCGCAGCGGGCAAAACCCGTGACCACGGGCAAGCGCGACACCCGGACGTCACTGCTCGCCCCACAAAATACAATGCGCGCTACCTGTAAATATGCAGGTGCAGACACGGTCTCACGACGTGGACGGGCCAAAATAAAAACCAACTCGGTAGGAATGATGAACTTACGTGACAGGCCGTTGGTGAACTACAGAGTTCTGGCGCGCGGCTTGTTGTTGTTGCATGCTGGCAAGGTCTGGGAAGATGTTAGTAGAGGCCCTGTGAAGTGGCATTTCGCAGCCGCTCGCCACGTCCTTTTTCTCCCTGCATCTCTGACGCTGCAATTCCATCGTACTGGGGCTGACTGCAGCGCTGTGCCGCCAGAGCAAAGAAAGCGGGCACCTACCTGCCAGTGTATCCATACCCGGTGTCGAAGTTTGCCGGTACATGGGATTCGGCGGAGTCATGCGCGCGTCGCGAGGGGATGCTATCTGTTGCGGCGTGCCGATTGAACTGTGTACTGCTCTTGCGCCGTTCGCGATGTGGGCGTAGCCTGGAGATGGCACACGCTGCTGAAGCGTCTGGGGCGGCTGTGGAGAGGATCTGATCTGCTGACTCAGACCCGAGGGTGTTCGCGAGGGCATCTGGCGCCGTGTACGTTTGCCTGGGGATCGGAGTAGTGACGGCGACGGGATAGTAGGGGCGGGCTGGGGCGTTGGGGTGCCCGCAGGCGAGTCCGACGGCGACAGCAATGAGTTGATATCCATGGTGGGTGTTGTGTACAGTTTGGTGCAGTTGTTTGGTATGCGCTCAGACTAGACGGCCGTTTCAGACGCCACAGGCGCACTCGACGTCCTGCTATGTTCTCTTCTATAATCGCGAGCTGCGGGAACTACACGGCATCGAATCCCTCGTAGCGAGCGGCATGGGACGAGGGCGGGCGATGGGCGCGAAAAGGACGGTTGGCGGCGCGCGGCGATGGGGCGAGCGAATGTGATGGGAGATGACCTCGTCGGCGTCGTGGATGAGAATGCCTACACTGGGCCTAGAAGAAAAGGTGGTTAGGTGCACCAGACGAGCTTGGGCCTGCGACTAATCAAGTAATGATGGAGCGAGCACTTCGCGACTCGGAGCAGCTGGATGCGGACTCCCGGGAGAGCAGGTAAAGAGGGCACTGCAGGGTGTAGGGCGCGTCACCAGATGCGCGTCAAGAAGGGCCAACTGGACAGCGTCGACGATGGTCTGGACAGGAGCGGGACGACACGACTCCTGCACATTTCTTCTGCGAGCTGATCGCTGCGTCTGGTTCATGAAGATCTGCCGAGACTCCCCACCCCTGCAAGCGCGGAGCCTTTCGCCGCAACCACAGAATTTCCCGTCAACTCCACCGCATTGGCATCACCAACGCCGCAGCTTCGTCGTGCTGAGCATCGGCATGAGTGCTCGAATTCCCTCACGGCGCCTGGGGCAGTCCGGTACGCCTGTCCTGTTCCCCCACAAACTCTACGACTAACACCGAGTAGCCCTCGCCGTCTTCCGCCCGCAC